CCTAGTCACTGGAGAGAAATGAAATTGAGCAGAGGCACTAGGTGGCACCAGCCTGGCTAACAATAACCCCACATAACCTGTGAAATTAGCAGTGACAAAAAAGTGCAATCAGGGACTCACTCACCTCTGGGAACTTCAGTGCAGAAGCCTTTAGAGTCTTTCACAGGTTCCCCTGTTTCAGTGTCAAATCTTATCAAAAAGTATGGAGTGCCCATCTGTGATTATTCAATACATCATCATTAGACAACAGAATTAAAGGGGCACTATGCAACTTTTCCAATAAGGTTCCATGGACCATGGACATTTTATTTCATTTGGAATGGCAATGCATGGAGACAAGCAGGTGATGGAAAGGTTACATAGTGCACCTTCAGTATATTTACAAAGCTAACCCATCATAGCCTTTCAAACCAGTGTATTTAATATTCTATATAATAATACTTTACTACTCCTCTTCACTAGTATTGACCTTATTCTTCCCCACCCACTTTTGCCTCTAAATGCTTCTAAACCTTGCTGTGTTTGTGGTGGCACTTCCAGTTGAGCAGGATTCTCATTCATTTCAATGGAGAAACTGAGAAAGTTTTCCTGCAGAATATAACAGAGGTTGATTTGTGTAAAACAAGTCAACCATGCACCGATTCTCTGGGAAGCTTTAAAACCACTTTGTAGACTGAACAGAACTCATTCGCCAGAATCAACAGCCACATTGCCACTAAATCCATTTCATTCATTAAGGTGCACTATGTAACTTTTTGGTTCAGGGTCCACCACCTGCTTGTTTCTATGGAGATGTCATTGCTCTGCCAGGAATGTTCCACAGTATGACATTAAACAGCTCTACCTTACATGTACTCAATTACAGGTGGCTTTATACCTCAAAAATACCTAGAAAAACAGGCATTCTCACTTTGAGCGGCGTTGCCTCTCCACAGATCTGACCTGTAACTTGATAGTTGTAACTCAGATGGGGGGCAAGGGCCAGAATTCCCTATGGATTACATTGTACTTAGCATGAAATATCTAAAAGGTAAAGTCACAAATGTTGAACCTGGTATTTTAAATTATTGACTAAACTAAAGAACTGTCTTTATTACAAGATAATTTGGCATTTTGACAATATAAATTTGAACTGCCCCCCCATCTGTGTTATTTAATATTGGCCTATAGAATGGTGTAATGAACACTCCAGGCAAAGCAATAACATCGCCATGGAGAAAAGCATTTGACGCACTCTTCACCTGAAAAGTTACACAATGCACCTCTGAAGTGGTTTGCTTGTGTCTTGTCTTACTTTATGAAGAAAATGCTCTCTGCCGATGGCTCCGACTTTCCCGATGTAGTTGAAGAAGGCGACGTTTCCTTCTGTTGAGCCATAGCACTCACAGATCCGAATGTCTCCAAATCTATGCAGAAACTCCTCCCACGTGTCCAACCGGATACCGTTACCTATGGCAACCCGCACTTTATGGTTCTTATCGTTGTCTTTCTGAGGAATAAAAATTTAACCAGGGATGGGAAGAATATATTCAACATGTATTTAGTTACAGAATGTTGAATACCAGCAGTAAAATGTATTTTGTAATGTATTCTGACACATGGTCCAATCAGGGTACTGTATTCTGAATACTTTTATGCAGAGCTGCACATAAATTATAATGTATAGGGGGTGCTAACTGGAAGCACTGCTCTGTTACTCAAGATAACAAGGGCGTAGGTTTGCATAGGGACAGTGGGGACATGTCACAACCAATATCTGGGAAAGACAAAATAGTCCCGACCAATATTTGCCATTTCATTTTAATAAACAAAAATATAAATTTATTCCGATATTTTTCAAACTCAATAGTATTAATTGAACACATTTTAGTTCACATTTTCTTTATTACATGTTCTGAGATATATTCAGTGATATAACGACAGGGTTACCCCTGCCGTATTTTCACTGGCTGCAACAAAGTGATGTCACAGTGGTGCCAGGAGCCTAAACTGGGGGGCAGGACAGGGCTGCACCTGACAATGGCAGCTTGAGCAGGCGTGAGTGAAGACGCTGCACACCAAACTTTGAAAAGCTATTGCAACAAGTGCACCTCTCAAACGGAGCCCTACTCGTGTGCTGTTTAAATAATAAGCTTAGAAGGGCAATGGACACAAACTGTACATTTTTCGAACTGAAAAATTAAACCACCTCTCATTTTTTTGGACCTCCCCTGACTCTGTGTGGAAAGAATTCATAAAACACATACACAACTTCTTATCCCATTTTATCCTTTCTTATAAAGATGAGCTATTTGGTTTTTGCAGTGTGCATCATACAAAAAGTAAACAATTTATATAATGAATCTGTTAATCAAGTAACCAATCGGGTAGACTTTAATTTGAGCTTTAACATTATCTGACTATAAAGACGTGACTTAGCAAGAACTACACCAGGTAAGCTGATTTTGTTGAACAGTTTCCTCTCGAATAACTTAACAGTCACAAGGTAGCATCAGCCAGTCAGGTTAAGATACACTTTATTGTCCCTCACAGGGAAAAATTAATAGCTAAGTCTGTTAAATTACCTTGGGTGAGTTGCAGAGGTAGCGCAGGATCTCTCCTATGTACTGGATCACAGTGACGTTGTATTTTCTACAGTCATCCCAGAACTGAGAGGCAGAAAACTTGCGCTTTAAGACAACCGTCAAACCTACGAATAATTAAAAAAGCAACACAATATTGGATAAATGGACTTAAGAGATGAGATTTTCAAATGCAAACAGGTTCGAGAAAAGTTGCAGCATGTGTCTTTGTCTCTGTGGAGATGTTATTGCTTTTCCTGGAATGTGCCACAGTACGTAACAAATCCTGAACTTATGAATTCACAGTCTAATCACACTGTTATCACCATATTTTTTAATCAGATTATCCAGATTTAAAAGTGGCATTTAAGGAATTTCAAGTGTTGTTTTTACTCAAAACACCTCAAAAAACATGCCTTCTTACTGTGAGTGGGGTAGCCTCTCCGCAGATATGACTAGTATATCCAAAAGGTAAATTCACAAAAGCAGAACATGGTATTTTTAATTTATTAACTAAACTCAATAATCAATAGGAAAAACTTCTTATCTGATGCTATCACATCTTAATCTCAAATCTTAAATCTGAAACACAGCAACATCTCTATGGGGACAAGCAGGTAACAGAAAAGTTCCATGGGGCATCTTTAACCTTACCTCTGTCTATGGCCGCAGTGAGCCCCATGAGGAAGCCTGAGGAGTGGTACAGGGGGAGGCACAGGTAGAAGATGTCGCTCGAGGTCAATCCAGCAACGTTCTGGACAAAGGAAGCGAACCACACCCTCATATGGGAAATCACAGCGGCTTTGGGGAGACCTGTCGCACAGCATGCACAAGCTGTAAAATTAGGTTGTTGCCAAAGTGATTAACAATTTTATGCAAAATACTACACATAACTGTAACTTGAAGCCCATTGAAAAATATATTGGGGGTGCTGTCTGTATTGACCTGCTGCAAGTTGCCCTCGAAAGAATCAGCCAGATGTCTTAAAGGGACAGTTCAGAACTTTGGACATAGGACCTCATTATCTAGTTAGTCAGAGTGTTGGAGACGTTTGGAGACACTTTTTTAAATATTCCAACCAGTCCTTGTATTTGCAGAGGTCACTGGTTGCTAGGCTAGTGCATGTCAATGGCCATAGTTAGCCTGCCACTAAAACAGTCTTACCCACTCCACAAAACACCCAAAGCAAAACAAATATAACGCCAGACTGTCGATGTAAATGTCTGTGTCGACAGAATAACTTTAGAAGTAAAACCATCCTTGCATTTGAAGGATTTATGTCTGACCAGCAGCAGTGAGTTGTACCTCCTGACAGAAAGCTTGGCAGCGGCAGACTGATATATGACAAAATAGTCCCTCAACATGCGACAATTCATGTGATGCAAGGTTAGTTTTATTTCAAATATTATTCTGTCAATAGTGACATTCACATCGACAGTCTGGCGTAATAATAGATTTGCTTCGGGTGCTTTGTGGAGTGGGTAAGACTGTTTTTAGTGGCATGATAACTATGGCCATTGACATGCGCTAGCCTAGCACCAGCGACCTCTGCAAATACAAGGACTGGATGGAATATTTAAAAAAGTGTCTCCACATGTCTCCAACACTCTGGCTAACTAGGAAATGAGGTCCTATGTCCAAAGTTCCGAACTGTCCCTTTATAATGATGTGATTTATTAGGCATCCACAGGAATGGTAGAAGTGTGTGATTAATGTTAACTCTCTGCTCGTAGTTCGACTCATTGAACCCCGATACCTGGCCCCAGCCCTGTAAGACCAGGCCACATGGGTGGAGCCAGAGTTCCGATTGGCCACTGGAGAAAAGTGTCAGTCTCTGGGCAAAATAATGTGAGGATGCTGGTAGGTCTTTTCAACACACATGAATGTGTTTCGGAGATGGGTTTAATATAGATTGTTTTCACGTTCTCGAATTTGATTTATTGAGTCTGTTCTATCTCAGGTGGAGGGCAGAGGGACTACACACTTAGGAGCTTTGCCACAGTATTTGACCATGTTTTAAATTATAAAAAAGTTCACTTTAGGGCAGGGCATTATCCATTAATTTGTCCATGTCCTTTCATCATACATTTTTATATTACATCATTGTGTTACATTTCAACTAAATAGATAAATCAAAGTCCTCAAAATGTGGCCTAAAACAGCAGACAAAAAAGAAGTCACATGTTGAACTTTATTCTTTATCCTTATTTGTTTGCAATTCATTAATCTTATGGCTGTTCTTTTAACTGGCAGCCATCACATTGTTGGTGTTGAGTAATGGTACCACCCTCTAAACCTTTTTCCCTTTTCTTTATTTCATGCTGAAAGAAAAGATGTTGAACTTTGATGTAACTGTTAACCACCACTGCTAATAATAAAGTCAACTACACCTTCATGAGAACAAAATTGTATAATTGTATAATTTATTACATTTTTAAATCATGAGAACAGTGAATAAAACAAATAATTTTTTGGTGAAAAAATATAATTTAAAAAAATCGATCTGGATGCATTTTAAATCGATTCGAGAATTGTGCAGTGAAGTATCACAATATATCACTAAATCGATTTTTTCGTACTCCTCTAGTGTGTACACATGACCAGTGTCTCACCTGTGGTCCCAGAGGTGTAGATGTACAGGGCGGGGCTGCTGATTTTAACATTAGCTCTAAGCTGCAGGGACAGGGGCTGGTCTGAGGCCTCTTGGATCTTATCAGACAGAGTCTCGATACCATCCACACAACTCCCCTGTCCCAAAACAAACATACGTATGCCCAAATCCTTCAAACCAGGCAGCACCTCCTCTACTGCCCCCTGCAGATCTGACACAAGAACAGCAACAGGATCAATCAAAATGACAGAAAAACACAATGTCCAAATCAATAGTTATAATGATTACAGTAACCCCATTTATATAGCACATTTCAAAACTGCATTTCTTAAAATTACACCTAAAAGAACACAAAACTTAATGGTTAACTATGTCAACTTTCTGGTAGCGAGTCCTCCACCTGCTTGTCTCCATGGAGATGTTACTGCTTTGCTTGGAATTATGTTAAGTATGGCATTAAATTCAATTACACGTGTTTATTTTGTTCAGAAATGCCCTGAAAAACATTTGTTTGGATGGTGTGACCTGCTTGCCTCCATGGAGGTATAGAAAGCCATATCATGGAATATTCTGGGCCAAGCAATATCAAGCAAGTGGTGTAACCTTCTCCAGAAAAGTTACAGTAGCTCAAATGGTAGAGCATTCGCCCACTGATCTGTAGGTTGGCGGTTCATAAACATCACAGGTTGAGTGGTCAGATCCACTGACCCACAAGTTGGTTGGTGTGATTCCAGCTCCCACAGATGAATGCTGCTGTTGTGACCTTGGGCAAGACACTTAACCCACCTTGCTCACAGTGTCTGCGTACACTGGTGTGTGAATGGGTGAGTGGTTCCTTGTTGTAAAGCAAGTTTGAGTGCCTTGAAGGTGGAAAAGTGCCGTATGGTAAATGGTCACATTTGGTACCATTTACCATATGGTAAGTGGTAAATGTAAAGCCATATGGCTTTTCATGGAATGTTGCATGGCATTAAACATATCCATCTACGGCATTTATTCATTGTGGGTGTTCTCAAGGCACTCAAAGCGCTTTACATCAATCTCACACATTCACACACACATTCATGCACCAGTCTACGCACGCACTGGGTCTGAGGGAGGTTAACAACACAGTATTCATCTGTGGGAGCTGGAATCACACCGCCAACCTGTGGGTCAGTGGTCAAACACTCTACCACCTGAGCTACTGTCACTCAGAACAGGTCAAGACAGTCAACAAGTCAGTAATAATAAAAAGACTTTATCAGCTATTCCAAAATATCACAAATAAGAATTGCATGAAATTTTCAACCTCAAAGAGACACTTATAATTCAGCACTTGTACCAAATGGAGCTGTAAATGTATTATAATTTTAAAACACAATAACACTAACAATGACTGGCTAAAGGAACATTCACTGTAACCTACTTGGCTGATGTATTTTTTCAGATGTTTAGGGGGTCAGAGGTGTTAGAGCATGTCACAGTATTGACTCATCCAATACAGTGTAACAAAAACATAAAACTGTTACTTAGGAAAGACTAGTAAAGCAAGTAAAAGGTTAGAAAGCATCAGAAACAGGAACAGAAAATATGACAAGAGCAACATATTCAGTAATTTGCAATCTGTCTACAACACTGTTTTACTGCAGTTGGATAAGAGATTACAATGTATTACATGTACAATTTGTTCTTTTGAATTTCAATTAAGAATGAAAAAAAAAAAAAAACATAGGAAAACTGTTTATTTCACTATTCCGTATTAGTGTCAAACATAAAAACAATTTCTACCTCTGTTTTCAATATTTCATTTAAAGTTTAGTTTAAATAACACCAAGCAAGAAACACCATTGTGCCTATTTCTATTTTGATCGTTTATTCTCTCTGGTTTATTTGCCTAGCGCGTATTTTTAAGTTTTTAGTATCTTCAAGATCTATACTAAATTATAGTTTGGATAAAGCTATGGATATTAATATAGAGTTTATTATAGTTTTATGGCCTGTATCAGTGGATGTTATAGGCTACCACGGCTGCCATCGAGATCCAAGCTAAATACTTTAAAGGGTTAATTGGAAAAGGTAAGACACGTGCAGAAATTTCCGCCACACTGAAACAAAATGAAATTAAAAAGAGCTCAGAAATGAGTATTCAAAGATTTTAAGAACAATACAGCCTAAAGAAACAAAGGATTGGTTAGCGATGCAGAGCTGGAAAGTGCTGCAATCTGCTCATTTTGCACATAAATATGTCCTGTTCCCTTATAGCAGTGCTTCTCAATTATTTTCTGTCATGCCCCCCTAGACGAATAAAACATCTTGCCAATGAGAGCGCCACTAATGTAGTGGAAGTGCAATTGCACTTTATTCTAAAGGCCTGTTCAGACCAAAGCGTCAAAACTTTCTATGTAAAGTCTATGTGGACGCGCGACTAAGCGTCCTGCGTTTTTTCCAGCGCGTTTACGGCTCAACGCGGCGCAAATCTGGCGTCAGCGCGGCGCGTCTTCAGCGTTTGGCGTCAGCGCCAAGACGCGCGTCCAATAGCGTCAAGAAGTTAAAATGCTGAATCGCGTCAACGAGTTTAGAACGCAATACTTAGAAACACAGGGTTGGTTAGGATGCAGCTGCGAAAGAAATGCTCGCCCCCTAAACTCAAATGCAAAGGCTCCAAATAGAGGCGTCAAGGCGTTTTTTGACGCTTTGGTGTGAACGGCCCTTAAGACAGTAAAAAAAATCTAAATAAAAAAATAAAAAAGCATGCTCCCCGAGGTCAAACGCGCCCCCCTTGACGGAGCCTCGGGGCGCGCCCCACTATTTGAGAAGCACTGCCTTATAGCGACACGTTTACTTTCGCGTAGTAATTGTTGAACCCATAATCTCCATGACAAGAAACAAGTCGCAGTGAGGCGATAAACTTTGTTTATCTGACACTAAAGTTAGTTTAATAAATCCATGCACTGAATTCACACGCGGCACTGAACAACTTCTGGAGCAAATGAACCAGAGAGAATAACAATATCAAAATTAAAATAGGCAAGATGACTGTTTTTTGTTTTGTTTTTTTGATTGGTGGAATTTGAAATGAACTTTAATTTAAACATAGGAAATAGAGGTCGAAATCTGTTTTTTTTTTTCTCGACACTAAAACGGAATATTAAACAGTTTTCCCATTTTATTATTTTTTTTCTTCTTCGCAGTGTTTATATGAAACTTTTTCAGGCAGCCGGTTGACCCTATCAAAATATCAGCCTCTGCTAGAGATTTAAGGCTGATAAGTGCAAATATCGGCCGTGATGACGAGGCCTAATAAAGCTTGGTTTGTGTTTGGTTTCAGATTGCATTATAGCATTGAGAATTCTATAGGCTAATAATATTTAATACAGATGAGGGAGGCTGAAATGAATATACTATAATATTGCTGACTTTCGTTGGAATATAGTCAGTTTTCGGGTCTAGTCAATAGCAGAAATGCTCAAAGTTTGTGCATTCACATTTGGATATTGCATTGAAAAGTGCAAAGTTATCAATTGGGGGAAAAACATTTGTGATTACACGTACCAGCTCCAGTCACGAGAATTTTGGCGTCGCAGCAGGAAAAGCAGTGCAGCAGAGATTTGGACCGTATGTTTGTGTTGAGTAACGCAGCGGTGCAACCAAGTTTGGACAGAGCCAGCCAGAGCCACACGAAGTCCGGCTCGTTTCCCAAAAACACAGCCGCGGTGTCGCCCTCCTTCAAGTCTGTGTGTTTCTGCAGCGCCCTGGCGATTTTGTTACTCTCCTTATCCGCGTAACTGTACGTAAACCTGCGGCCCTCGAAAATAATAAAAGTTTTTTCCGGTTGTTTTTTTGCTTGTTCCAAAAATCTGTCCAGAATTGTGTAATATGGCGTTTGCTTCTTAAATTTGCTCATGCGTATATGTATGCCAATAGCGGTGATGGTATCTTAAATCGTGTAAGAAATAGGGGTATTTTATGTAAATTAGTAAAATAAGCGCCAACAAACCAGCGAGGAAAGTGTAAAGTAGATTCGCAGTCATTTTGAGCTCCTGCCTCTGGACCGGGGAGGAGACACTCTGAGTAGCTACTACTGTAAAGGACTTTGAAATATTTCTTTATCACTATTTTTGTGGGTGTAACAGAGAAAACAGCCAATGCCAAGCCAAATCCTCACAGTAGCCACCCTTGGTTTGTTAAAGGTGTATTATGCACTTTGTTCTGATTTTTATTGTTTGAATTTAATATTACAAATGTGTGATATTATATGTGTCAGGGGGTCTGGTGTTCTCATCAGGGGAATTTACTGTATTTCATTGCATTTTAGAGGCCAGTGTTTCCCAAACTTTTTTTCTGGGGACCCATATTTTAAAAGTCACAAACCTTCATGACCCAAGTCAATAGACATTATTCGTAAATCACAAAATAAAGATGGATTTGACCATTATTGAACATGAATATTTTATTGTTGACTGAGTGATCATGTCTCTCTGACCAATTAGTATTACTGAAGTTTTAAACAATGGCAAACAGTAATTGAACCAGCAATAAAATTATCCATAAGTCGCCTATTTGGACATTAAGTGTAACCCATCTCTTTTTCTTTTCAACATTCATTTGAGCCAGCAATAATGGAGCAAAATAATCAGTACAATAATTACTAATTATTAATGAGAAATTATATAAAACATGTCTTAACATTTCTAATGAGATAGGTGGGCCTGTCTGCGTTTTTGTAGCGCGTTCCAGTCCAGGGTAACGGAGGAGAGAGCAGCAGCAGATCAGTGTCAGAAGTGTATATTGCAGACCTACATGCAGATCGTGACAAGGCGACCCAAAAAAAATCTGTTGCGGCCCACCTGAGGGTTACGAGCCAGTCTTTGGGAAACAATGATCTAGGCCATAACTCAATAATATAATATATGTAATCTATATTTATTTTTTCATGGGTTAACTTCCTGACAGTGTCTATGTCCCCTGTCCCTGCTCTGACAGGGCCCTGCTCCTGTCACTTCTCACAGACATAAGGTTTCAAGTCTGTGATTCAGAGCAGGACGAACACTACAGACTTCTAGCCTATAAGTTCTTCTAGCCTCTATCAGGACGTCTAAACACATGTTTTATCTTGTATTCATGGGCGGTCCTCGGTGGTGGCACTTTTTTTTACTGCCCCCCGATCTTGCATAGGGTGCCAATCACTGTCCACTGCCTGTATTTATCATGAGATACTGCTGCTGAGGGTGAGACTGTTCCCAAGGTCAGTTTTCATCAAATAAAATGAAGTATAGAGATTGAGACACGAAGAACTGCCTTATGATCCTCCAGCCTCTCCACAGTATATGCCTTTGTAATAAGACACTTAATAAATATAGGCGCATTTTCTGATCAAAGGAGCGGTCTGTGCCTCAGTGAAAGTGCACGAGAGCGAGGAGGGGAAAGGCAGAGTTTAGTTGCCCAGTGTTGGAGAAGTGCCAGTGATTGTATGCATGGAAATATAATCAGTTGATTTTATTGTAGATCTATGATTGTATCTGATCAGATGAGGAAAGATTGTTGCCAAAACTAAGATAAGTGTCCGACTCTAAGCTGTCAAAGTAGGTCAAATCTGTGGAGAGGCAACCCCGCTCAATGCTTGTTTTTCTAGTTATTTTAAGACCACCAGTAGTTGAATAAATGTAAATCAGTGCTGTGACATAGCCAAAGACACAAGCAGGAAAGGGTGGCAACTTTGAAGACTGTATACAATATTAAACAATATATTTAGTTGTTTATTCTTTGCTGCATAAATCCATATATGTTGTTTCAAATATTCAATGTCTTCTGTATGTATATGAAAAAACATTAAATGAGATGGAGTGTCTATTGACTGGTATAGATTTGTGAAGCTGTTGAGGAGGTTCTTGTTGCTGTGGTGTAACTCTACAGCCAAAGTCCATGTTGCCTTCAGTTCAGTCAAACCAATGCACACTGTCAGATAAGGTCAAGGACACTGTTTATCTCAGGACTCCAATAAACTGTTACAATATTAAAGGAGTAATAACTTTGAACTTAGAAAAGGCAGAGGTACTATTAATTATACTTCTACAAATACACCTACCACAATACTTCTACCATACATCTATTTTTTTTATCAAATATTTAGTATTGTAGGGGTACTATGCAAAGAACATTTATATTTTGGACAAGTATATTTTGTTATGTTTTTTCTAAATACTTTTAGAACATCATAGCTATTGGGTTTCCTGTTAAAGGCTCTCTATTACACAAATTTGACTCTTGTGAGCTTTAAGCCATGTTACACTGCTGTTACCTCCTCAAAAACATACCTGGAGTTGTGTTTTGTTTCATCCATACATGTCTGAGTAACCCTTTATTATCAAAATTCTCTGTTACACCTTGTGACATCACAAAGTGGTACGTTTCAAGTTAACAGCTACCTTTTCCCTTTTGCTTACTAGAGACTGGCAATTCCACGGCTGAAATCATCCAAATAATTCTAGTGAAGGTGTATGATGTTTAAAAACACAGACAGTGGAGTACTTCCTGTATTACCACATGACATCACAAGGTGGAATAGAGTTGTTTTTTGTTAGAGAGAAGAACTTAGCCTAAACCTAAACTGCAGGTGGCGCTGTTGTTCTGCCTCCACCAGGGAATCAGCTGAACCAACACATAACAATAACACATGAGCCTTTCCTTTCCTCAATCTTCCATTTTTCAGCTGTCAATCAAATGTGCCATATTAAGCGGTGTCCCAAAGCTCAGAGGAGGCAAGGGAAGGAAACCACAGAGTGAACATGAGCAAGGACTCAGGAGGCAGACATCAGATAAAATAATAAAACTTTATTTGCCTTACAGTGAGGAGTGTGTATTGTTGCAACAGTACAAGTACAGGGACAGCAGTAAAGGAGGTTTGACATGTTACATAATCCTTCATTTGACATTAAAACTAAGCTCCTCCTGCCTCTCCCCTCTGCTTCTCTCTCCTCACTGTGTCTCCTCTCTTCCTCTCTCATCTATTCCTCTGTTCCTCTACTCCCCTTTTCTCTGCTCTTTTATTCCTCTGTTCCTCTACTCCTCTGCTCCTCTATTCCTATGCTCCTCTCTCCTCTATTCTTATGCTCTTCTACTTCTCTGCTTCTCTCCTCTATTCCTCTGTCCCTCTGCTCCTCTATTCTTCTGCTCCCTGTGTCTCCTCTGTGGATGGCACTTCCTCATACATTTCCTGCAGAATCGAGGAATCAAGGAAAAGGAAGCGAGGAAAGCGAAATGAGAAAACGACAATGGGCCTCTGAGGAAGACTGCAAGAGAGCAGATGAAATGGTCAGTTATGAAAACAAACAAAACTTTTGTCTGAAAAAATCAGAAGACTAAAAGAATCTCATTGGACTATTTGTCTTAATTGCCAGGGCAACAGTGTTAATCTTCATCACTTTGAAAACTATCGATTGGTATTTGTATCTTTATAAATGTGCAAAAGCTTTTTTTTCTGTTTTAGTGGATGTACACATTTTTAGTGCAATAAACTAAACCAAAATAAAAAAAGACATGTTTTTATTTTAGTCTATTTTTAGCTAAAAGCTACATAGTGTAGCTTTAATTACTTCCACTTTCACAGTTTGAAGCTTTAATGGATGAAGAAGACCCCTGAGGTTGAAAATAATACTTGAAAGTGTCAGGGCTGACTTCCTCATAGTTTCATGTTTCCTGAGATTATGGAGTTGTAAATTTCAGTTGTCATGGTAACATAGCTCTTCTCCCGATCGTCCAGGATAAACAGTGGGTCTTGGATGAGTCCCAGATCAAAACCCTGTCCCACCAACTTAACCTTCATCTGTTTAAATGTCCCAGTCACCTCCACGGCCTCCTGAGAGGGGAAAAACTGTTAGTACAACATATGCGTTCATTTGTAAAGTAATTTAATAGGGCATGCAATTGTAGTAGTAGACCAGTAGTAGTAGTAGTAGTAGTAAAAGTAGTAGTAGTAGTAATATTTTTTGAAACATGGTATAAATGGTGATTGTATCGTATTGTGGACTGTGCCATTTAGATATGTTTATGAATCTATGTTTGCAGTACTTCTGCTACATCACTGTCTGTCATTACTGAAGTGTATTGGATTCATGTGGCTGTACTTGAAGGATGTGCTTGACAGGTGATGTTTGATGATTGTATGAAAAATCCATTTAGTGACATATCGCAATACTTCAGTCACACAATTCTATATATATATTTGTCCAAATCTATTTTTTTAGATTATATTATTATTTATTATATTATTTTCACATGAAAACATGCTTAAAGGTACATTGTGGAACTTTTCTTATGGAGAGCCTGTCACCTGGTTGTTTCTAAGATGTTATTGCTCTGCTTGAAACGTTCTACAGTATGACATGAAACAACTCTACCTTACATTTATTCAATTACAGCTGATTAAAAAGCTCCAAAATACCTAGAAAAACAAGCATTCTGACTGTGTCGCCTCTCTACAGATCTGATATGTAACTTGGTCTAGTTTGGTCTCCATGAAGATAGAAATGTTTAATGCCATACTTTGAAACATTCCAGACAAAGCAAAAACATTTCCATGGAGATGAGCATTTGACAGACCCTTCATCAGAAAAGTTACACAATCTTAAAATTTACAGTTCCCATAATAAAAAATTTAAAAAACATAAAATCATACAAATTTGTTTTCATGAAGCTGTATTTGACTATGATATTATAAGTAATTATTGATAAATCACAGTGCACAGTAGGGCTGTGCAAAAATATCGATATATCTTATCATTTAATGTGATTATACAATATCGCTATCGTGGGCTGCTGTATCGATATATCACCAAGAGTATTTTTTGGTATATTTTACTCAATTATTTAGTTACAGCGCTCCAGTTTTGTTGCTTGTTTAGTGGAAGGAAATTCATTTATATGACACATTTGACATTTTCACTGTTTTGATGAATAAAATCTGTGTGTTTCAGATGAACTTTGCACAAGAAGTGGTTTAACAAAGACTTTTAGTATCACAGCCATAATTTAGCCATTATTTTTTATTGAACCATATCGAATCAATTTGAAAAATAACATATCAAATCGAAAGTGCACTGTATCAAGATACGTATCGTATCGTGGCCTATGTATTGAGGTATGTATTATATCGGCAGCTTTTTAATGATACCCAACCCTAGTGCACAGTGCACACCCCTACTTCACATTTGTACTTCAACAATGTACTGTAATTTGCAATGAAGCATAATGTACTTCACATTGACTTGTCTGGGGTTATTTAAGAATTCAATTACTTCTTTCTTTTACACTACATTCACATATTTTCAGATCTTCTCCCATCTCAGAAGATGACAAAGACAAAATTATATGCAGTCTGTTACTGTATCAACACTAGATGGCAGCAATGTCCAAAAATACAACAGGGTTTATTACTACAACTACTACTATTACTAATAATAATAATAACACTGCTACTGTTATTACTACTACTGCTGCTGCTGCTGCTACTACTGTTGCTACTATTACTACCACTACTATTACTACTACTACTTCTACTAACATTACTACAACTACTGCTGCTACTACTGCTATTACCACCACAACTACTACTTACTAGTACTACTTTTTTGTATTTGCTCATTTTATGGTAATGCCTGATATAATTTTGCACTTAACCAGGAGCTTCTAGTTAGTTGTGCTGAACAGTTTATTAAAGGTGCATTGTGTAACTTTTCTGGTAGAGGGTCCGTCAAATGCTTTTCTCCATGGAAATGTTGCATTGTCTGGAATGTTACACAAGCTTTCTTTCATCATGGAGAGACCAAACCAGACCAAGTTACAGGTCAGATCTGTGGAGAGGCAATCATGCTTACCGTCAGAATGCCTTTTTTTACGTTTTAGTTTTTCTAGGTATTTCTGAGTTATAAACCCACCTGTAATTGAATAAATGCAAAGTAGGGCTGTTTAATTTCATACTGTGGAACATTCCAAGCCAACCAGTGACATCTCCATAGAAACAAGACGGTGACGGCCCCAGAAAAGTTACACAATGCACCTTTAAGTGAATATAAAGTACCTGTATCCGTATGAAGCGTGGGCGGGCGTATGAAGGTAAATATTCAGTCACATGGCTGTACAGTTTTCTTCCATCAAAATGTGTGTCTTCTTTTAACGTGACTGCAGCCATCCCTATTCTGCCCTCATGTCCTGGAACACAATTTAGACACAATTCATTCACGATACAAAAGAAAAATATTCAACGTATTGCCGCTGGAGTTGTCATATTATTATAATTTCAAACTCAATTTAATTTTTTTTTTGACAATAGAATGTAATTATGAACACAAAATAGTATTAATCATTTTCTTCTTGTTACCATATGGTCTAATATTAGCTAAAGATCATACTAAAACTATTCAGGAAATTATTTTTTTTTTAAATCAATACTTTTTTACTTTACAATAATACTGGTTAGAAGCACTATTATTGCTCTATAATTTAACTTAATAAGTTTTTTACAATGAAACTGCCATTGATATGAGGGCAGAGCAGTAATGTGTGAGCTACTGTGTCCAAATAATTTCCCTTGTGGATCAATAAAGTTTGTCTAAGTTTAACACGTTTTAAATCCAATTATAGGTCTTGTGGTCATTAGTTGCCACATAGCTGATTAACCCTGAGCAAGCTTTCAAACGTATTAACTTTTTGGAAAGTCTGTGGGTAAAATGAATGGAAAATTAAGTTCCAGAACCAAGGAGTAGGACGTCACTGTCTTGTTTTTGTCTGTTTTTACCTGGTACAGAAACACCGTAAACATTTGCTTCTTTGATACAGTCCCACATCGTCAAAATGTCAGAAACTTCAGTGGTGGCCACATTTTCACCTTTCCACCTACAAGAGATAAAAAGTATATTTAGAGCCAGATTTAGTAAGAGTTAGCACGTGTGCAAACAGATAACACACGCAAAATCAGGTGAAGTTTTGTTTGTGTCTTTTGTACAGTATATAGCTGAGAGAGAAATTTGTATAACAATATTACTACTACTTCTATATTTTTTATTTTTTATACTTGTACATATTTGTTTATATAATTATGCCTTATTTGACACTAGTCTCTTGTTTGTCTGTTTTTTGCAACGTATTATTTATTTTTTTGCTTTTTGATATTATAATATTATATTGTGAATGAAACAAAATACAACTCCAGGTGTAACATAATAGTATAATAAAAATAGTATAATATGTAATAATACGCGCTGTTTCCAAAAGTAAATCACATCTAACAATATTTTTGTTTGTACATGCAGTTTTGGATTGATAAATCTGATTCTTAATCTTTTGTTGGAACTCTAGACCTCAGAGTTTGTGATCTACCTCAGAGTTTTCAGGCTAATATAAACCAGTACAGTTTTTGATTTAAGTAAGTTAAGTAAAATAATAATTAGTTAATAATAGTCAATTAGTGTTCTTTCAAAAGTGTTCTGATTGATGTGTTTACCCAGAGTGAAACAGGAGGTTATCGAGTTCTGCCACACTTTTTTGTTTACTTTATTAGGCCTGAGTGCCAGAAGCTGGCAAAGGGCCTATTAGTATCACAAAGCAATGTGATGCTAAGGGTAGCCAATAAGTGCACTGACAGGAAGTGATGTGCCCATAGTGACCCGGGGCCATCACCATGATATAGGAATGTGCGGGTGTGTTCTGAAAATGTATAGAAAAAAGCAGAACGTTGTTCCCTTATCAGAAACTTTTTCTCCTAACCAACCCACTCATTATTCACCCAGTGAACAGTGGCGAAAACTCACGAAAATTTGCCCAACATTAAAACTTCCACTTGTCTAACTTTTGGCTATTTCTAGTTTCCAAAATTAATAAAGTGGCACATGAGCGCTCCACACAAGAAAAAATTGCATTAGGGTATAGGAACGATGGGAAAAAAATGCACGTAGAATCATGAAATTTGACACAGAAGTAGATCATGGCAAGTTAAAAATATTATTACACCATCCGCTGCACCAGGGGTCAGCAATATTGTATTCAACTTTGCTAAGCCTGAGTCCACATTTTTTGTAAACTTCATACTTTTACATACTCCTCCTAGGGCTTTTGCCCAAACGGGCTCAAATCAATGACACCCATCATTGACTTTATGTTAGGGTTATGTTAGGGGTTGGGGGTTAGGCTCAGGGTTAGGTTCAGGGTTAGGGTTAAGGTCAGATTTATGGGTTAAACCTAAGCTTAGGCTAGGCTTAGAGCACAGAGCCCAGCGTGTGTGGGGCACAGCATATTGTGTAACTTTTCTGGTGCCACTTGCATGCCCCCATGGAATATTATCATTTGCATGCAATGTTCCACAGTATGGCATTAAGCTCATCTATCTAGGTCAAATCTGAGGAGGTTTTAAAAGTTTTTATTGTATTTTGCAGAAATAAAATCACCTGTAATTGTATAAATGCACGATAGATGAGCTTAATGCCATACTGTGGAACATTCCAAAGCAAAAGTATGCAATTTTTATGAAGGCAGGCAACAGTTGAAAGTTACACAATGTACCTTTTAGGATGAGTGGTGGAACATATTAACTCTTTAAAACTTTTGTCCAGTTGACAGCGTTAAATTTTCTGTTGCAATGGAGCCTGCCTGGACAAGCGAGGGAATACACAGGCAGGCCGTGTAGTTGTTTCCACTCTCTACCTGAATGTGTCTCCAACTCGATCCTGGAAGTAGATGAAGTTGTCGTGGTCGATCCTCATGAGGTCTCCGCTGTTGAAGTAAAGATCTCCTTTTTTCAGGACATTTCGTAGGCGCTTTCTCTCTGTTTGCTCCTCATTCTGCGCGTAACCCTCAAACGGAGCGAAGTCTGTGATCTTTGACACTAGGAGGCCCGTCTCACCTACAAGCAGAGACAAAATCTGTCCAACAGTTCCTATATTATGCAAAATTGACTCTTGTGAAATTTAAGCCATATTATAATGTTGTTACCTCATCAAAATCATACCTGGAGCTGTAATTTGTTTAATTTACATATGTGGTAGTTTTTGAGTTAAAGTTTTTCCTTTAGCTCAGTAAAGATTGGCAAGTCCAGAGCTGATGATTCTAGTGTATGTCGAAGTGTATGGAGATTAAAAACACAGTAGAGAGCTTCCTATATTACCACATGACATCACAAGGTGGGACAGACTGCTTTTAGTCTGAGAGAAGAACTCAGCCTAAATATGCAGGGTTTGTGTGTTAAACGAGTGACTAAAACAAAAGCAAAACTCCAGGTATGTTTTTGAAGAGGAAATGGTTTTATAACAACAAGATCAGAAAATAGCATAACAAGGGACCTTTAATTCCAAATGGGCTTGACAACTAATTCTACATTTTTACATGCGCCTAATTACTATGAGCTTGAGGTGGCAACAATCACCTAAAAGGAATGATACAGTGTCATTTAAAAAAGGAAAAAAAGCAAAATGCTAATGAAGTTTATTTGTGTATGTAGTCAGTCAGTATTGATACTTTTTACTGCCATCACACTGGAGGTGTTCGACATGAAAAATTTTGTTAATTATGCTAGAAGGAAAGTATTTTTTTAATTATCTTGGCCAATTACCCATGAATTACCCATCCATTTTCATTGTTTTTTTAAGAAAAAATATTTCAAGTTAAAAAGTTACCTTTCCGGGCCTGCACGCAGAGGCCATCAGGACTTCGGACTGGTTCATCTCGTTCTGTGTCGTACTGAATGAGCACAAACGGGAACAGCTTCTACTGAAGGAAAACAAACATGTGTTACTGTGTTACTCAGAAAGGTGCATGTAGGAATCTCTCATATCTTACCGCATGAATGAAGTTGACTCGTCCAATGGCTCCGATTTTTCCGGCGTAGTTCACAAATCCCACATTTCCTTCAGTGGAGGCATAAAACTCTCGAATCTGAACGTTGCCAAACCGACGGATGAACTCTCTCCAGACCTCCGCCCGGATGCCGTTTCCAATCGCCAGGCGCACTTTATGGTCCTTGTCATTTTCTCTCTGTGATGTCAAAATACAGTAATTAAGTTTAAAGGTACATTGTGTAACTTTTCTGGTGGAGGGACCATCACCTGTTTTTCTGCATGGAGATGTTACTGCTTCATCTGGAATATTTCACAGTATGGCATTAAATTTTTCTATCTTCACGGAGACTAAACTAGACCAACTTACAGGTAAGATCTGTGGAGAGGTGACTGTCCTCACAGTCAGAATGCCTGTTTTTTTTTTTTTTTTTGGTTTTTTTTGAGCTACAAAACCACCAACTGTAGAACATTCCAGGCAGAGCAATGACATATCCATAGAAACAAGCAGATACCAGACCCCAGACCAAAAAGTTACACAGTGCACCTTTAAATTACAACTTACACTTGTATTTTTGAAGAATGCGTTGACAATTTTTACAGCTACAATCAAAACTGTTAGTAAATTTTTTACATACGTAACTGAAGAGGTGGGACTAGTTAAACATGTATTAAAGTATACTAAATCTGTCAAATCAGATTTATTTATTTAGTTTTCAGTGGGACAGTGTACATGAATAAACATTACAATAATATAAATGTATCCGAGTTAGTCAAGAGGCTAGTTTTCATTGGCAGTCCCCCTGCCAGATGATAATAGGCTCCCTAAAAGTTCATAAATTCATGTAAGTCATTTTGTTAAAATACAAGTACAACTAAGATTCAAATATGCAGTTATATATTTACATAATCATAAAAAACCTGAGAAAAAATATATTTATAAACTTTTAGTGCTCACATTTTTGTGATTCAATTAGCCACTTTTTGTGATTTACTTTAAAAGACTGAAATTATGAGGTGTCTCTCACTGCTGGTGGCACTGAGGTCCACTGATGTGAGGCTGTACAGGAGAACACAGTTTGGCTAAATTTACGATTTTATGTTGTTGATTAAATAAGACCAAAAAACCCTTAAATGGTTCACTTAAAGGCTTGAATAGACAAAAAAAAACAAAAAACATTTGGCCTTTAGAGCTTTTAAGAACATTAATAAAAAGATAATACAAATATTATACATGAACTGGAAGAATTATGTCTGTATAATATTTGTTGTTTCTAAATACAATAAAGTGGAAAAAAAACATATAAATAAAATAAAGTGTTGGAATGGAACTGTGAAACCTAAATCACAGGACTTACTTCCTTTTTAAAGAGCTGCCCATTCACCTGTGCTGCATTTGCCCTGAAGAAGACTCCTCACTAGGACGTGTGCAGAAATATCGAAATATTGATATATCGTGTTGTTTAATATGATGATACAGTATCGATATCAGGGATTCCTGTATTGATATATCACCAAGAGTATTTTTGGTAGATTTTCCTGTCATTTTGTAACAGCACTACAGTTTTGTTGCTTGTTCAGTGGAGGGAAATTCATTTATGCAACATATTTGGCATATTCACTGCTTTCATGATTAAAATGGGTGTGTTTCATATTAACTTTGCACAAGACGTAGTGTGACAGAGACATTTAGAAGCACGGCCAACATTTAGCCATTGTTTTTTACTGAATCGTATCGAATCATTTTGAAATATATCGTATCAAATTGAAAGTGTACTGTATCAAGATATGTATCATATCGGAAACTTCTTAATGACAGCAAGCCCTACTCCTCACTGTCAAAAAGTGTTGGTGTTTTTGTAATAAATCCTTAAAGCTGAGATCAGACGTCCCTCAGATATCATTTTCATTAAGTGCTATTTTGCCCATGATCCTGAAGAGCACCTGGTAGAGTGTTTAACTTTACTTCAGATACAGTGAGCACCTCTGCCCTGTTTCTTCTAAATATTCAGTTATTGGGCCTAAAAACAATTAAATCCTTAATTTTCTCTCATGGCTGTATGAAAAAGGTCTCAAAGGTCTTTAAAAAAAAAAAAATCACAATTATAATGTTTTTTAGCTCTTACTATCATTGTTATCTGAAATTTTTTTTTAGGATGCACCAATGGTTTTTCAGTTTCCATACCAATGTCGATATTTTGGCTTTAAGTATCTGTCTTTAACCGATACTAGGGCAGAAAATATAATACATTTCCTTTAAGTAACAACATCATATGGTAAAAAATTATCAAATGTGTTTTGTAATAATAGAACAGCTTTGTAAAAATATACGTTTCATATCATGAGTAGTTTTGGGCCAACACTGTCCAGTAAATCATGTTATAACACCAGATTATAGACCAAAATATGGGATGCTGAGCCAATATCTAGGATGCCGATATTTTCTCCATCAAAATGTGCAATATCGGCGCTGATATCTGATGCCAGTATTGTATCGGTGCATCCCTAATAATTTTGGCATCCCTTTATACAGTAATGAAATAAAATCTGATCATGTGGTTTTCTGATCGGGGCAGGGTCTGGCCTTTCAGTTACTTGATATGGTAAAGTAAAGTAAAGGCCAGGATCTATTCCTAGTGCTGACTAGATAGCGCCAGTCCAGCTCCAACAGGGTCAGAGTAAAGTGACACCCCCTCATGTGATGCAACCTGATACTCTGAATGGCCATACACATAAACCCAGTATTTACAATGGTACACTTTTTTTTTATTTTTCTTCATAATAATTTAGCTATAATCACATTCTTGTATTTCAGTGTTTGGACAAACTTGCATATGTCCAAGTATGGTTTAATTTGTAGATTTTAGTTTGAGAATAAACTATGACGCACAAGTCCGGAACATGATAGTTGTGATTTAACGATTTCTATTTCAGTAAACCAGGTGTGGCACCGGCAGTGGGAATGTACTGATTTAGAAAGTTATCTGGTTCAATGGGTCCGTGGTAGAGGCCGTCCACAGCAGCTGTCTCAAGCAGAGATACAGTGAAAGAGGAGGAGGCCCGGCTGGAGTACAGGATAATGGTAAAAATACACACTTCTAAACACAAATTTATCATGAAACTGATTTTGGAAAAACAGCTTTTGGAAAAAAAAAAAAAAAAAAAAAAAAAAAAAAACAGGAACAGGAACAGTTGAGATTCTCATAACTTTTTTCTCTTTTGTTATTAAAAATATCAGGATTTATACTATGCTTTGTAACTTTTCTAGTAGAGGCTCCACCATCTGCTTCATGGAGATGTCTTTGCTTTGCCTGGAATATTCCACAGTATGGCATTAAACTTATTTAACTTTCAGGTCTGACTTGTGACTCTGCCTGATACCTTCACCTAATTGTCTCTATCAAGCAAACATGTCAAACTCAGGCCTGGGGCCAAATTTGGCCAATGATATATTTATATTTGGTCAGCAAGATCATATCAAATATGTATTGGAGCTGACCCACCAGCTACAGATGAACTATAGGGACATTATTTATTTGAAATTTTGTTATTATTTTATATTATGCTTGTTCTGTATTCAGTGTTTAAGCAAAACTATTATTAAACATTTATTTTAATAACATTACCTATCTCAAAAGAAGAGAAAACATGCAGATGTTGTTCACATTTTTCAATAAATATTTAGTTTGGCCCATGAATGAGTCCCAGTTTTTAATTTTGGCCCTCTGTGAATCTGAGTTTGACACCCCTGCTATACAGGGTCTCTATCGTGTTAAATCCCATAGTGTGGAACATGCCAGGCAAATCTCGTCGTCATGGAAATGTTACAAACTCAAATACACACTGCTGCAGAAAGTTGAGCTGTTACTTTAAGATGAGCAGAATACAAAGCAGCAGAAGCACATGATACGTGCCATGTCCTTTTTAGTTATAATGCAAAGAAAGTATTTTTCAAAGCAAACACCTTGATCTCTGTTGTGTTGGCTTTACGCGCCACCTATAGGCCGAAATGTATTATTGCATCTAATGAAAACCGATAACTGTATTAAATTTATATGTGATATGAACAAATTTAGTGATATTTTAGACAGTTTAACACGCACAGGTGGTGGACACTCCAAAGGAAAAGGTTTTACTGCAGCTTAAGTGTAACTTGTATGAATAATGACCATTACAATGAGTTTTGTTAGTGTGAGACAAGGCTTAGGGGGTATTTGGGACAGAGGTTAAGAACCACTGCTCTCTAGGCACAACCATGCATGTTTATATCAAACTGCTCTGGAAAATCTTTTACTTTATAATACAGTATGTCATATGTGTGTGTTTGTATGTTGTTACCATGGGAACGCTGCAGAGGTAGCGCATAACTTCTCCGATGTATTGAATCACGGTCACATTGTGTTTTCTGCAGTCGTCCCAAAACTGAGAGGCTGAAAACTTCCTCCGCAGAACTATAGTCGACCCTTAAGACAAAAATATGGGCACGTTTTTATGGCTTCTTTTTAGTAATTTTTTTTGCTATCACAGGTTAAAGGGCTCATATTATGCTATTTTCTGATCTGTTATAATGTTGTTTCCTCATCAAAAACATACCTGGAGTTATGTTTTGTTTCATTCACACATGTTCAACATACAAACCCTGAATATTTAAACTGCAGATTTGAGAGGCAGGTCCCACATTTCGCATTTCATTCATCCACATTATGGACAATAACACGTATAAAAACACAATTACAAAATAAAGTGTTATACAGTGCTCCAGTGCAGAATGGTTTGTTCCATAAATAATTAGTTAAATTCATCCATCACGCTTGGCTAAGATCACAATAAATATGAAATATATAAACTCACGATTTTTCCAAGACAAATGCACTAGAATTGATAAAAAATAGATTACAATTTATTCATAAGTATGATAGCAGCTGGACCGAAGCTCCTTTTAAAACAATTTGTTCTCCACATCACAAGGTGGAAAAGTGCATTTTGATTCAATTCAAAAATTCAAAAATCAAGAGTAATTTTACTTAATAGAGGGCCTATAATGGATAGGTTTTTAAGCCATAGGCACAGACTGGCAGACACACCTTATCTGTATAGCCCAGGGCAGCTCTGATTAAGGAAGTAGCTTACCCTCTTTGAGCTCTTTAGATTGTCTGGAAAAGCACAGAACCAAACTAGTGCATTTTCAGTTTCACATTTGTAATTAAAATATTTTGTTTTACAAGGAAACAATGAGAATATATCAAGGAAAACTGGAAGAACCTTTCAGACAGTTCAGCCATAAACAAAGACATCTAAATACTTTAGATAAGCAATCTATATAGACATAAACCAAGGTCATATATTTTTGCTTAAATTGTGATAAATTTAAAGATATACATGTACTATGTAACATTTCTTGTCTCATCAGGTTAAGGTAGACTCTATTGTCGTTGGGAAGTTTGTCCTCTTCTGCAACCTGTCAGGAGCAATGGGCATGGGACCCCTTCTCCAGAGCTCGGCTTGGTCAGGACTTCCCTGTTTGCCTGAAATGTTCCACAGTATGGCAATAGACTTCAGTCTTACATTTGTTTAATTACATGTGGTTTTACTGCAAAGACAATACCTTAACATGAAGTCTGACAGTGAGCTGGGTCACCTCTCTGTAAACCTGTAACATGACCTGGTGAAGTTGTTACTATCCTTATACTACCCCATCTAAGAGCTGTACCACAAACTTTGACCTGAATAATCAAATACTTGTGTGAAAGTAGGTAAGCTGGGTTATGTCGACTGAGCTCCAGATTACTCCAGATTTGACAAAGGACTTTTTATTCAAAATCCACTGAGGAGCTGAGCTCACATGGTTAATAGGCTCATTTACAGATGTATTATTAAATCTAATTAGAATTAAAATATATATTTTGCAGAAAATAAGAAGAATATGCATTCTTATCTCATAAATGCAACTAAACAGCGCTTTCTTTGTGGTGGCTCTTCCAGTTACACGAGAATCTCATTCATTTCAATTGAGAATTTGAGAAAAATTTCACCACTAAAATATAAAATAAGTCGCTTTATTTGTGTAAAATGTTCAATGTTCATGTGCACTAGTAAGTCAATACTGCAACAATTCTCTGGGAGAATTTAAAATAGCTTTGTGGTCCAGATAGAATTTATTAAGTGTGGAGATTCACACAAATCCACACAAAATAATTCTACCCCAAAGACAATGGAGGTGCCCACGGTAAAGTGAATATAGTGCACCTTTAACTTTGTTCTACAGAGATTTGTATTCTCATTTATAGGCACAGGGAGCACATGCAAACTCAGTTTAGGACTGAGTTAAACTGTAATCGAGACTCAGAATCAGTTGGAGTTAAATCAGTTGCAGCTGCTTTTAAATCAGCGATTTTGTCATATCAATCTGCTCAGCTCTAATCTCACCTGTCTCTACGGTCTCACCTGTCTCTACGGTTTCACCTGTCTCTCTGCTCTCACCTGTCTCTCACTTGTCTCACCTGTATCGATGGACCCGATGAAGCCGATGATGAAGCCTGCCGTGTGGTACAGGGGCAGGTTCAGGTAAAGCACGTCTTTAGAGGAGACGCCGCTCGACGATAAAACCGCCAGAGACGATAAGAGACGCATCTGATTCACCACAGCCGCCTTCGGGAGACCTGCAGGAAACGTGGACTACATTACACTTTTATCCACGTTAACAGCATTTTAAGTGCAGTGTGTATCTTTTCTGGTGGAAGGTACACCACACTTAGGGAGATGTTACTGCGATTCTCGGTATGTTCCACAGTATGGCATTAAAAGTCTTTTCAGCCTTTGTTTCATTAGAGACATCACTTGCCTCTCTGCTTTCACCTGTCTCTCATCTACCTCTCTGCTCTCACCTGTCTTTCTGCTTTCACCTGTCTCTCACCTGTCTCTCTGCTCTCACCTGTCTCCCTGCTCTCACCTGTCTCTCTGCTCTCACCTGTCTCCCTGCTCTCACCTGTCTCCCTGCTCTCACCTGTCTCTCTGCTCTCACCTGTCTCCCTGCTCTCACCTGTCTCTCTGCTCTCACCTGTCTCCCTGCTCTCACCTGTCTCTCTGCTCTCACCTGTCTCCCTGCTCTCACCTGTCTCTCATTTGTCTCTCTGCTCTCACCTGTCTCCCTGCTCTCACCTGTCTCTCTGCTCTCACCTGTCTCCCTGCTCTCACCTGTCTCTCTGCTCTCACCTGTCTCTCTGCTCTCACCTGTCTCCCTGCTCTCACCTGTCTCCCTGCTCTCACCTGTCTCTCTGCTCTCACCTGTCTCCCTGCTCTCACCTGTCTCTCTGCTCTCACCTGTCTCTCTGCTCTCACCCGTCTCCCTGCTCTCACCTGTCTCTCTGCTCTCACCTGTCTCCCTGCTCTCACCTGTCTCCCTGCTCTCACCTGTCTCTCTGCTCTCACCTGTCTCCCTGCTCTCACCTGTCTCTCTGCTCTCACCTGTCTCTCTGCTCTCATCTGTCTCCCTGCTCTCACCTGTCTCTCTGCTCTCACCTGTCTCTCACCTGTCTCCCTGCTCGCACCTGTTTTTCTGCTCTCACCTGTCTCTCACCTGTCTCCCTGTCTCTCGCCTGTCTCTCTGCTCTCACCTGTCTCTCTCCTCTCACCTGTCTCTCACCTGTCTCTCACCTGTCTCTCACCTGTCTCTCTGTCTCTCACCTGTCTCTCTCTCTCACCTGTCTCTCACCTGTCTCTCACCTGTCTCTCACCTGTCTCTCACCTGTCTCTCACGTGTCTCTCACCTGTCTCTCTGCTCTCACCTGTCTCTCACGTGTCTCTCTGCTCTCATCTCAACTTTTATTATTTATTATTGTGTTTAACTTTTTTGTTTTTGTTTGCTATTGTGTGCATTGTGTCACCACGGTAACCACTGAGCATTCCGTCAATAGAGACACATGTAGAGCACCCCCAGTGTGATACCTGTTGTCCCCGATGTGTAGATGAAAGAAGCAGGACTCTTCAATGTGACGTTTGATCGGACTGAGCATGGGATAGGAGAGTCTAGCGCTGCGTTTACTTTCTCTGTAAAACTTAGAATTCCCGGTGTGGAGCAGTGGTCGGTCATCAAGAGCACAGTGACGCCCTGTTGGGTCAGTGAAGGCAGCACATCCTCCACGGCTTCTCTCAACTCTGCAAACAAGAGAATAGTATAAATATACCACAAAAGTATGAAATTTGTCACTAACGGAAATGATGAAATTTGTGGAAACCTTTGGGGCATTTCATTTCACTTCGTAGAAACCGTCTGACCTCACAGTGTTAGAATTTGTTCGCTCAGCGGTAAGCGGGTACTTTTTATTTAACCAATCGCTGCTATTTGGTCGTGATGTAACTGGTATATTAAGCTTTTACCAAATCCCGTAGGAAGAAGGGCAATAATGTCTTTCCCCTTGATAAAATTCACCAAACATTCTCTTTGTTACGGCTTTACATCCTCGATCTGGAAAATCGTTGACAACACAGAATTTATGGCTCTTCACTGCGAACCGTCTAGTGTATTCCGATTCCTGACCTAGTCACTGGAAAGAAATGAAATTGAGCGGAGGCACTAGGTGGTATTTTTATGAAGGAGAACTAAATTTCCATGGAAAGAAGCAGGAGTGGGCATTCGTCCAGGTTAAAAATCAGGTTTGTGGAGATGCATGCCCGAGTAAGCACGCATGTTTTTCAGTGCAATAAACAACCAAAATGATAAACATTAAAAACATGCTTTTATTATTATTGTTATTATTATATTGTATTTTTATTATTTATTTTATTTATTATTTGTCTATTTTCTGACAAAAGTTACACATTAGGGGTGTAACGATATCCAAGTCTCATGATATGATGTTTTCATGGTATGAACCTTACGGTACGATATTTATTGCAATATTGTGGGACACCTCACGATATGGTGGCGAGGCTCACATTTAGCGATGTAACAATATCCAAATCTCTTGGTACAATATTTTCACGATATACATCTCACAATTACGATATTTATTGCGATATTTTGTCAAGGCTAAACAGCTAAAACTGTTAATATGCTACTTTTTCTTCTTAAAAAGCCTCGACAAGACTTAATCCAAAAAACTAAGACTTAAAAGTGCTTAAAACTGTTATTTCTTCTTGTAGTCTACGCTGAAGTGGAGCAAAGGATCATGGTCTATGTAGTTGTTGTTTTTTTTAGCTCTTGCTGCACCGTAACACTTGATTTAAGCAAAGAGACTTGTAATTCGATATATTGTGATGGTCCAAGATATTATTGTGAGAACTTTGATGATATATCAAGATATTTCGGTTATTGTTTCATCCCTTTCAGCTTTAAGTGTGCAAATGTTGAATTCTCCACGTGTGTGAACGGTCAGGACTTATTTTTATTGATTGATTTTTGTATTATTTATTTATTTCACTTATAGGGATAGAGTTCAGCGTTATGGGCCTATGCAACATTTCCCTTATTTATTTCACTTATAGGCATAGAGCTCAGCGTTATGGGCTTATGCAACATTTCCCTTTCAGAATATATACTGTATATAATGACTCCATCACGAATACCTGGGGCCGCGATGAGGACCGTGGCCCCGCTGCAGTTGAAGCTGTGCAGGAGGCTCTTGCTTCGGATGTTGTAGTTGAGGAGCGCCGACGGAGAGCCCAGTTTAGCCAACGCCAACCAAGTAAACAAGAAGGCGGGCTCATTTCCCATAAAGAGCGCGACCGTGTCTCCAGCGACATATCCGGGCTGAGACTGCAAGGCCTGCGCGAACTGGTTACTCCGCTTATCGGTCTGAGCGAAGGTGTAGCGCTCATTTTCAAAGACGATGAAAAGTCTGTCCGGATGTGTCGCAGTTTGCTCCAAGAAACGATCCACAACAAAGAAGCACGGTGTCCTCCTTCGACGAGACAGAAATTTCAAAATAATTTGCAGCAACTCACAAAAATACCTGACGTCCATCCAGAAATAAGGGAAATAGGTTTTAACTGCGAATAATATGGTAAAAATAGAAGCTAAAGTGATGGTTAGGGTGAAGATCTCCATGGTGCCAAATAAACAAAGGGTACCAATGCCCTCAAAAGTTGAGCTATCAAACGGGAATGAGGAAAAGGGGGACTTTGTTCCAGGGGCGGGACTTACTCTTTATAAATCCTTTATTTGTTAAAGCAATAGTCTATCGGTGTAACAAACACGATTCTTCATCTTTTTTGGGGGGGGAGGCTTTGTGTTTTGTTAAAGACGTTTTGGCAGGGCTGGTGTGAATCAGATTAAAGATACACCATGTAACTTCTCTAGAGTGGTGTCCACTACCGTGGAGATGTTATTGTTTTGCTTGAATGTGCAGAGTATGGCATTAAACTTATATAACATGCATTTCTTCATTTTGTCTTTATTGCTTTTCCCAGTCTCAGTCTAACATGAGTTGCAGGGGTCACCTGTCTCCATGGAGACAGATCATTTAATTAGTGGAACTTTCCCCAGAAAGTATCTTCCTGAGAGAGAGAGAGACAGACAGACAGACAGAGATACTTTATTGATCCTGTGTGAAATTCAAGTTTGTTGATTCTAAAGGTAAACTAAAACACAATGTTTTATTTTCCACTACAGGCCGACCATATCCAAAGACATTTAATCACTGTTCTATTATAGCACTATACTGTGAGCATCACCACTGGAACAGTTAAACAAATGAACTACTGGGCTGGTCGGGTTAATTTCCACTTGCAGTCCCTGGGCAGGGTAATGTTATAGTTTATAAAATCAAACATTCAAAGAGAATGTCTTTATAATGATCGGATCATCATAAAAATTCTGTATCATCATGCACACTCAACTCTGTCAGTGGAGAGTTCATGATGAAGCTGTAGCTGCATGTGAGGCGGGTCTTTAGTGATGTATTAGAAGACATGACCTTAGAGGTCTCATCCACAAAAGTACACATCCCTAGTGTTATTAGTCAATTCATCATCAATGCCAGTTTTTTAAGTACCCCTGATGGTGCCAGTTCTGTAGGTTTAGTCCTCTAGATTTAGTCCTAGTCCTATAAATTTAGTCTTATAAATTTAGTCCTATTGCTTTAGGTTTGGTCCACGCCTGTATCTCCTCCAGGTTTAATCTACTGTAACACACTCCTCATGGGGACCCCTGTTACAAGCCTCCAGAGACTACAGTACATCCAGAGGGTCCTGGTGAGGGAGTGGAAATATGAGTCCATAGCTCCCATTCTCCACTGACTACACTGCTTCCCCATCCAGCGAATCAACTACAAGATCTGTGTCCTTACGCAACAAAGTCTCTGGACCTGCCCCAAGCATGGAGCTCCTGACCCCCACCAGGGTTCAGCAGTAACTAGTTACAAATTACTATAATCAGATTACTTTTTTAGTAATGCAGTATTGTAACTAGTTACAATGGAAAATAGAGTAATTAGGTTACAGTTACTTGGGTTACTTTTTCCCTTTCAAAAATGTGTGTAATCCAGATACTGCCATAAAACAATAAAAAGATAAACAGTTAACACAGGATGTCCACTTCTGGTCTTAGAAGTAGACGAGCTGTGAACCTAAACAACACAAACACTGGTTTATGGAGGACTGTGGTGTCACTTTTGTTTGAGATGAAGCTCTAACAGAAAGTGTCAGTGTGAAGTGTCATGCTTTTTATAAGTTGGTTTCTGAGCTGTGTAACTTTTAAAGTAACTTTTACTAATCAGTAGTCAAATTACATGTACACCACCACCAGACGACTACGCAGCACGGACAGTCATTGTCTCTGTCCACCCAAAACCTGCCTCTGCACCAGTCCATCAATCTGTCTTGTGACTGAAAAGCCAAGTTTGCTATTTTTGTCTGATTTAACTTTCTTGTTTTTAGGAATGTTTTTACTGTAGCACTCTGACATTTAAAGTAAAGTGCATTATAAACACAATTTATTATTAGCCTATTATCATTAGTATTGCACATAGTGTCTATGACAAATAAACTAATAAGCATTTTAGCATTTCTATAATAATAAACACATCTCACTGTGAGATGTATGCCTCATACAAACTAGTACATGATAATTAATATACTAATTGCAGAAGCCATATTCCTCCATCTATACCTGACCTGATCCTGGCTCAGGATCTAGACTTTGTGGACAGAGGTGGACACTGAAGGATCTCTGACCTTTGGCTCCGTCCACACTTTAGATTATCTCAGTAAATTGTGAAACACAGACCACAGTCCAGTCCACTCGAGCTGATCTGGAGACAGTTTAGTCCTACCCAGACTGACGATTGAATGAAATCTGCAATGGAAAAAGTGGAGCAGACAGATAGAGAAGATACTAAATCATTGCCTAAACAAGATCAATATCTTAACCTATTATTATTATTATTATTATTATTATTATTATTATTATTATTATTATTATTATTATTATTATATTACAGGCTAGGTTGTATGAAAAATGTTTTGTGCTGAACAACTGAGAAATATAATGGAATACTCAGACTAGTCCTGAGGTCTAATTATGGGACTCAGTTTGTTACAATGTCACCAGTGCTTTAGGCACGTGTTTGATGACAGAAATATAATGTAAAATGTCTTCTTGTTTATTTTAGCTATGACAGGCTTGTGCCAATTACACCTTACATCTTACAGTTTACAGCTGGAAAAAGTCGATATCTGCGATTTAAAAGTCGATATCTGCAACCCTTAAACCAGTCAATCATACTTACAACCATAGTTTGTCTCGTATCATGATATTTAGTTTGAATAGCACGGTGCTGATGTTAGCAGACCAATACTTCGGGGTAATTCTCTCCCAAACGTGCATTTTGACGCCACGCACGGGCCTGATGCTCCTCTTCTGCCGATAAGAATTTGCTGTGGTCAGGGATTGGGTTTCAGAGAAAGACTATTTCTCTAGTCACGTTGCTGCTCAAGAAAAAAGCAGCCAATAGTCTGAGAGACACGTAGCCCCGGAGGTATAAAGTGAGGCTGGGCCGAGCGCCTCCATTCGTGCGTAAAGCGTGAAAAGGACGTACGTCGCCGTTTGAGTCTGCATCACTCACCATAAGCTCGGACCATGCTGCGGGTCAGGTGTCTCAGAGGAGGTAGCAGGGGCGCAGAGGCCGCCCATCTGATTGGAGCCATGGTTGGTATCTCATCTCTCACGGTGATTTGTCTTTTACTGGTTACACATCTAACTCCACTGGTCACAGGAGACAGACCCGTGAAAAAGCATCAGTAAAGATATCAGTATATTTTGCAGAGTAACAACAAATAATCTGGAAAAAAATGAGAGCTGCGAATAAAATAATGTGTGTTCGAAATGTTGACATTTAGTTGCTCTACATTAGGTTACATGCACTTACATTCTAACTGATGTGATTCATTTTTCTTTTGTAGTTTTTGTAACTCTTTGATTATTAATTAAAGATTATTTTTCCAGCATGTCAGCATTCCAGCAGTTTGGGTAACCCTAAAGTCGTGAGCATTATTTACCATGCTGGAGAATGATTTAAGTGCTTTTTAAATAATTGTCGGGAACATGGAAATTTGTGCGAAATCTTGGCGTGAGAAACGCGTGTGACGTGCTGAGAGGGCTCTCTTTGGAGTGACAGCGCGCAGCTGTTTGGCACAGATGCGCTCCCAAACTCGATGACCCGCGGCGCCGCAGTAAAACTGTGATAAGGCTCCTTCAAACACGTGTACTTTGACACCGAGCCAACTGGTCACGCAGCAGACACGCAGACCACATCTCACTTTTGTTTTGTTCACACCTTGTTTAGTTTTGCTGTTAAAATGTCTTTATGTTCCAATGGATAATTTTGGCGCTCTACAAAAACCTAAAAGCAAAACTCCATCTCTGCTGTCCACAGTTCGGGCGTGCAGTGACGGGTTGGGCGCAGAGGGCGCAGAGGGCGCTGCAGAGCACATCCAGCGCCGCTGTGGCCGAGCCGCACCTGGAGGACGATCACGTTACTGACGCACTGGAGCAGGACTGTCCCGTGTGCAGCTACAACGAATGGGACCCGCTGGAGGAGGTGATCGTGGGCCGAGCCGAGAACGCTCACGTGCCTCCGTTCACTGTGGAAGTGAAAGTAAGTCATGGACACGGTCACTACGTAGATTTAGGAGTACAGGTGATTTTATACGTTCTAAAGATCCCGTCAGATCTCAGAAGGTAAGCAAGGCCAGGCCTGGTTAGTTCTTGGAGGGGAAACCACTGAGAAAATCAGGTGCCAGAGTGGGGCAGCAGTGGCAAAAACTGTTGTTATTTCCTTAGGCAAGACACTTCACCCACATTGTCTAGTATGAAAGTGATGTGTGCTTGAGTGATGGATGGAGGGACTCATGGCGCAGATATATATATATATATATATATATATATATATATATATATATATATATATATATATATATATATATATATATATCTATATATATATATATATATCTTACTTACTTCTTACTGATCTTGTGGGGTGGTTCATTGGTTGGTGCGTTAATGAAACTTATTATCACTATCATCGGGTGAATTTTCAGTTTGCATATAATGTAAACAAGCCACTGGACACTTTTATCCAAATTCACCTGGTCTATTGCCATTCTTTGTCTGTAGGCAAACACTTATGAGAAGTATTGGCCTTGGTATCAGAAATATGGAGGCCAGTCTTTTCCTGCGGACCACTTGAAAAAAGCAGTTTCTGAAATTGAGGAAATGTGCAATATTCTGCGCCATGAGGGAGTGACGGTGAGACGCCCCGAACCCATCGACTGGTCCATGGTTTACAAGACTCCAGACTTCGAATCCTCTGGTAAGCAGAGACATGAGCATTCATATCTGTGAATCTGACAGGATGATCAGAACTAAAGGTTTGTCTCTCTTGTGCAGGTATGTATGCAGCTATGCCCAGGGACATCCTCATCGTGGTGGGCAATGAGATCATTGAGGCTCCTATGGCATGGAGGGCACGGTTCTTTGAGTACAGAGCCTACAGACCCCTGATCAAGGAGTACTTCAAGAAGGGAGCCAAATGGACCACTGCTCCAAAACCCACTATGGCTGACGAGCTGTACGATCAGGTGAGAGAAAAAACAGTGAAGTTACCACAGTCTGAGTTTTACTGTTATTGACTTGGAGATGAAATGAGTGTCAAGAGTTGGGAGAGACATTCATTTCAGTTACTGGTTCATACTCACAACACTAGAGACCAACCCAGAGCTTGCGTTTGTAGATTATGAGGTTTGCAACTTTTTTGAGCCCCCACTGCAAAATCACATTCATGTCTTTAATAATTTCAAGTGATATATATTTTAAATCAGGTTTAACTGTGTTTATTTGAGCAGATTACTGTTTATGTGAACACATTTTGGCAACTGTGCAGCAATTCGATGACTGACTTTTGCAGTTCACTGGGGTTTTGGTTGGGTACTAAATAGCTATTGCATTTCTTGTCGATAAGAGCTGAGGATATCAAACAATTCAGTGTTTTATTAGGGGCAAATTTTTATTGCTTTATACACTTATAGAATAATCTAAACTATTTGTACCCATTGCACTGGTTTATGAAAGCTTAAATATGGGCGCAATAAACTTCAAAGGTCGAGAAAAGTGCTTCCTGAAATTTAAAAATAGATACTATATTATTATTACTTGTTTATCTTTTGACTGCTTTATTATGTGTTCTGTAAAGTGTCTTTGAGAGTCCTGAAAAGCACTAGACTATTAAGTGCAGTATCATTATTACAGTAGATGCTAAAATAGGAACAGTGTCCTTATGCAACATTATACACGAGGATGCACATGTGCGATTAGGATCCTGTGTAGTATTTGCTTCAAGTGACAGTATGTAACTTTCTCGAAGTATAAAGTCAAGTGAATTATTCCACGGAAATATGAAGTTAAAACAATACTTTTCAGATTATTCTCCGTGGAGATAGATACGTCTCATGCTATATTTTGAAAAGATTTTAGCCAAAGGAATAGCAATTCCATGGAACCAAGCAGTAGAGGCTCTCCCCCAGGCCAAACACAAGTCATGTTTGCGGAAATGCAAGCCTGCTCATAGTAAGGACGCAGGGTTTGTTTGTTTTTCAATGAAATAAAAACTCTACAAAGAAAAATAAAAAGTTACATACTATATAGGCCTCTTTTGTTTTGGTTGTAGGATTACCCAATCTGCACAACACTATTTCTTAACCAAGGTACACTTAAAACTAACTTTGTGGAGCTGCAATCCTTCTCACAGTACGGACACAGGTTTTTGTATGTTTTTCAATGCAATAAAAACATCTATAATAATATGTTTTTTAAAGTTACATACTATAACTTTAAAGACAAACCTCTTTTGTTTTGGTTGTAGGATTATCCGATTCGTACCGTGGAGGACAGACACAAACTTGCAGCTCAGGGGAAGTTTGTGACCACAGAACACGAGCCCTGCTTCGACGCCGCCGACTTCATCCGAGCCGGACGAGACCTGTTTGTCCAGAGGAGCCAGGTACAAACAGTCTCTTTTAGGGTTGTCAAAAATATCTATAATGAGATACTAATCAATACAAATACAATATTGAAACTAATATTGAAACTAGATACTCATTTGAGCAGGTATCAATACTAAAAAAGTCACATTCACAGAAATTAATCTTTCCTGAATAGCTTTAGATTGATCTTAAGATGTACCAGAACAATTATTAGACTTATAGACTAGTATACGCCCATGGACCACTATGAAACTATATTTTTAAAAAATCATGTTGAAAATGGCTTTCTATTGTCTAAATAAAGATTTTAGATTTGTTTTAATTATCAGTGTAGTATCAGAATGTACTGAATATCAAGTCTATTCCTTAGTATAGAAATAGAGTTTGAAATTTTAGTATCGTGACAACATTATTTATTCTCTTCATAACAGCGGATCTGAAAAATGTATTTGCAAAGACCAAACTAAAAATATTTGACATTTCAATTAGTATTTCCCAGAAAAGTATATATCCAAATCTAAATCAGGATCAATCATATTTAGACCAGAGTGCACCTACAACTAACTATGAAAACTAGAACTAGAACCACAGTTTGACAATAATCACACTATTATAAAACACCATCCAACTATTAAGGAATTTGTCTTTCTTTAACATTATCAGTTTCCTTCTTAGTTCCTATATAAACTTCCTTTTGTGGAAGCATACTGTAGTTGGGCTTGAATAACCAAAACTAACTCGCCGTGTTGTGTATTCAACTTCAATGGGTCCCAGACTGAAGGTAAATAAACTTCTTATACCTCATACATCCAGAGTCTCGTGCCTCTCTGTACAACTCTAGGACTTTAGGACAACATTTACATTCCCTAACACATACATACTAAAGATAGATACATAAAAAGCATCAGAATGAAGAGAGATATCACATTAATAGTAGAGATTTTGTTATAACAGCAACAGTATTTTAATATAAGATTGTATTCCCCTCAGGTTACAAACTACATGGGAATTGAATGGATGCGGCGCCATCTTGCCCCTGACTACAAAGTGCATGTGGTCTCCTTTAAAGACCCAAACCCCATGCACATCGACGCAACTTTTAACATCATCGGCCCGGGACTGGTGCTGTCAAACCCGGATAGACCATGTCGCCAGGTACAGTCTATATATGTGTGTGTGTCTCTGTATTAGGGCTATTGACTGTCGCAATATTCATTATCATAACATATTCAATATATATTACAATAACGAAAATATATCATGTTTTTTTAATAAGACTACGCTAAATAAAGCTTTCTTTTATGAATAATTTTCCTATTAAGTCCAAAATTACACTCTCAGGTCCTGTGCCCATCAGCTCAGTAGTGTATTTACTACACTTTTTCAGATGTGTGCAAATTCTGGCCAAATACCAACTATGTGGAAAACACCCACTATTATACCTGTTCCTAAGTCGAATAATTCAAAGGAACTAAGTGAATTCAGACCAGTTGCTCTGACCTCAGTAGTTATGAAAATCTTTGAGAAGATACTAAAAGAGAATATCCTCTTTCTAACCAATGGTAAACTAGACCCATTGCAGTTTGCGTATCAAGCAGGGAAAGGTGTAGAGGATGTAAAAATATTTCTTTTGGACACTATTTATAAACACCTTGAAAAGCCCAACTCACATGCATGGATACTTTTTGCAGACTTCTCTTTAGCTTTTAACAAGATCCAGCCAGATATTTTAATTGAGAGATTAGCTTCTCTTTTTTAGTTTTCAGGTTTTATTGCTACTTTTAAACTTCTTAACCCACCACACACAGAGAGTCCTGGTAAATGGGGAAATGTCCAATCCCATCGTTTCAAATATTGGGGCCCCCCAGGGTTGTGTTTTGTCTCCGCTGCTCTATATTTTGTATACAGACAGCTGTAGGTCCGCAAATGAGGGCAGCTACATGATCAAGTTTTCAGATGATACTGCCCTCCTCTCTCTCCTGCAGGGAGCAAACTCTGACCATGGCCGAGCTTTACCTGCTTTCATTGAATGGTGTGATAATAACTACCTGGACCTAAATGTAGCAAAAAACAAAGAAATGGTTGTAGACTTCCGGAAAAAAGTCCACAGCCCAATAGCCAGTTCCATCCATGGAGAAGCCGTAGAAATGGTAGACTCTTATAAGTACTTGGGAACTGTGTTTGATTCCTCTTTAAGGTTCGATAAGAACACTGAGCACATCATCAAACGAGGACAGCAGCGGGTTCACTTGATGCGGAAGCTCAGCTCTTTTAATGTATCGTCTAATTGAGCCAGCCTAACCATGTACTGCACTCACAGTTCATGAAAATGCCCTCTGGGAGGCGCTATGTCACCCCACAGCAAAAGACTAACCGCTACGCCAAATCTTTTATTCCTTCTGCCATAAGGATTTTAAACGGAAAGTGAATTTGTAACTGTGTCCCTGATGCACTGTGGTTCGAACGTCTAGTGTCTGTCTTTCTTTTTTTTTAATTATTTATATTTATATATTGTGCGTGACCAGAGATGTGCGAACTGAATTGCCCTTTGGGATTAATAAAGTTGTTGATTGATTGATTGATTGATTGATTGAAAATAAGCCTTGATTTAGTTGCAGTTGTGTCTCTGGTGAAGTTATAATGTTGTTTTCTCATCACAAACATACACAGACAATACTCTTTTCCACCTTGTGATGTCATGTAGTGATACAGGAAGTGTGCCACTGTGTTTTTAAACTCCATACATCTTCTCTAGAATCATTTGGATAATTTCAGCCCTGGAATTGCCAATCTCTACTGAATTAAAAGTAAAAAGTAGCTGTAAATCCTAAAAATTACTGCTTCATGACATCACAAAGTGGAACAGAGCATTTTGAGCTTTGCAGATGTAGACAGACTAATAATAAAGGGTTACTCAAACGTGTGAATGAAACAAAACACAAATCCAGGTATGTTTTTGATGAGGTAACAGCATTATAATGCGACTTAAAGCTCACAGAAGTCAATTTTGCTGTATATTTGTGTCTATCTTTATTCACTGGAATCTTGACCTTTCTGTGACTTCAGATCGACATGTTTAAGAAGGCTGGCTGGACTGTTGTGAAACCTCCAACACCTTTGATTCCTGATGGTTTGTATCTGCAGTAATCAGCTGTTACGCAAACAAAGTATTGTGTAGTTTTGTATCACGTGTTTCTGCTTTAGATCATCCTCTGTGGATGTCGTCTAAATGGCTCTCAATGAATGTTCTGATGTTGGATGAGAAGCGTGTTATGGTTGACGCCAATGAGACCACCATTCAGAAGATGTTTGAAAGTCTTGGTAAGTTCAATTCAGTCTGTTTTAATTTTTTTTTTTTTTTTTTTTTTTAGCTTTCTTCTGTTTCTGTACACAGAGTTTTAAGCCTTGTTACAATGCTGTTATCTCATCAAAAACATACCTGGAGTTGTGTTTTGTTTCATTCACACAAGTTTGAGTAAGCCTTTATTATTAGTCTTTCTGCCTTTTGATGTCATGATTTAGCAGATACCTTTTACTTTTTGTTAAATAGATTGGCAATTCCAGGTTTGAAATGATCCAAATGATTCTAGTGAAAGTGTGTGGAGTTTAAATCACAGTAGAGCACATTTTCCATTACCACATCTATACCACAGTTTGTGATGAAGGAAACAACCTTTATAACAGATCAGAAAATAGCGTCATATGGGCCCTTTAACCACAGCTGCAAGGGTAAAATAGTATGAAGTGTGAGCTACACTTGTGACAGCTGCCACCATGAGGCCAAACCCTTTTGCTTCAAGTCATATGAGCTTCTTGGTGGTTAAAGGGTGAGTCATTCAGATGTTTGCATTTTACACAGCTAAGACTTTGACAGAGCCCTTATTGCTTTAATAAGTATTGAAACTTTGAGGTCTGCATTGGTAAAATTACTTCTTTTTGCAGCAGTGCAAAGTAAACTACTGCCTGTGGTTATCTGGGCTACTCAGCTCTGGTTTGGACTAAGGCTGTAGTTGACTAAAGAAATTCTTGGACGACTAAAGACATGTCCTGCTGATCAAAAGGGGGCGTGGCAAAAGCTCTCAAAACAATTTCATGTGTTTATGTATCTGACCCAAATAATTTATGCCACTGACACAAAAACCCCGAAGCTCATTTCTGTAAAAAAAATCTTCATGAACCATAAATATAAATAACATGAGCTGCAATAAGTAAATATAAGAGAATGAAACATTTTAGTAGTTAGTTTGCATAGAAAGTGAGTCATGAATATGAATATAGCTTTGTGGAATGAATGAATAATGCACTGTGCTTTAGGCGTCTTAAATGGCACTATATAAATACAATGATTAATTAATTAATTAACTGATTGATTAATCATAGAAACTCAACTGTAATCATAGGACAGAAAAAACAAGAAACAGCTCATGATAAATACTGATCCCCAAATTTATTGCTCCAACTTTCATATATTCATCGATAAGTCGATATATTAATTACTGTCACATTCGATGAATACAAACTTTGGTCAACTAAAACACCGCCAACTGATTAATGGATTAAACGACTAAAGGCCTACAGCCCTAGTTTGGATACCCCTGAATACATAGCAATAGTGGCATTTATAATCTGATTGTGTTTTTGTGTACAGGTATAAAAACCGTAAAGGTGAGCATTCGTCATGCCAACTCACTCGGAGGAGGCTTCCACTGCTGGACCACAGATGTGCGTCGCCGTGGGACACTGCAGTCGTATTTCCACTAGCCACACCAGAAATGGGCAGTTTTTATTGAGCTGTGGACATAGATTCTCAGTCCGGAGACTAGAGTTATACCTAAACATTTTAAGAGTGTGTGTACCATTGTCAGAGTAGTTCTGTCCGGATTGGGGCTTTATGTCCAAAATGTTTGAATGTTTTGATTTAACATGGCGGTGCATTTTACTGTGCCTTTTGCAAACAGCTTTATGGTTTCAACAGAATTCTTGGCTCTCATGAGAAAAAATAAAAAGCGTGTTTCTTGTAAGATCTCAATAATAACTGCATTTCTGGCCTGGCTGTTGTAATGCTCCACTCTGGAAGGTGGACACATCTGGAAGCATTAACTCCGAGGATAAGGTACAATTTGGTATGTGAATGTCACCATTTTAAGAGACAGCTAGCTCCTCATCCAACATTTTTCCAAACTTTCCTTTTTATTTAAACATGTATAGACTGTGTAGGTCATTAAAACTATAAAAAATTATTTCTTATCGCTGGTTTATACTTTGTAAAGATTTCCTGTTTATATTTTATATATTGGATTTTCCCACTAACATTGTTTTTATATTTGAGAAGAGGTCCATATCGATATTGTACACCTTTCGCCTCTGTTGTTATCTTCTAATGCAAATCTGGGCCAGTAATATGCCACATTCTCACTGCTTGGCTGCTTCTATGGCATCAGAATAGACATTTTGTTGTGAAGATATTAAAGTACAGTAATTCCTGTTGTGAATTTAAAGTCTTAACAAGCTTTTAGTGTTTACAAAGCTCCTCAAAGGAATGCAAGCTGTCATGTTTTTGTGAATAATGTGAATAAATACAAAAAATGTCATTAAATATTTCTGGTGATGATTATTTCTTACAAAACAGTTGTCTTGAGGAGGAGGAGAGTGGTCGGGGCAACCTCTCCCCCACATAGGACACAGCACATGTCTGATAAACGCAGCTAAGTCAGTCTAAAATACCACTAAACATTAACCTGGAGATATGTGGAGAGGTTCAAGGAAGATTATGTAAAGATATATACATCAGCTTTAGTTTCAGAGAGTCTTTAAATGTGCACTATGGAACTTTTCTGGTGGGAGGACTGTCACCTGCTGCTTGTCTGTGTAGGAGATGTTGTTGCTTTGCCCAGAAAGTGCCATGGTGTGGCAGTAAACACATCTAGCATTTATCAAACTGATTATATTAGCCTATTTTCTGATCTGTTATAATGTTGTTATCAAAAATAGACTTGGAGCTGTGTTGTGTTTTGTTTCATTCACACAAGTTTAACACACAAACCCTGTATATTTAGGCTGACATTGTTAAATTTGAGGTGTTTTTATGAAATGCCTTGTCACATGTTTGTCTCCATTGGAGGTTTATAATGACAGACAATAATGTCATACTGTGGAGCATTTCAAGCATTGCAATAAGATGAGCCCATTCATAAGGATTATTTAGATATAAAAAACATCTGTTGCAAGATGTATGTGTTTAATGGCTCCTGTCAATGTGAACTAAGGTTGTCAAAAGTATCTAAAAGTGAAATACTAATTGAAACTAAAACTAGTATCGATACTAAATACTCATTTGAGCAAGTATAGATACTAAAATGTCACATTCACACGAAAGAAATGAACCTTTTCTGAATAACTTTACAATGATCTTGAGCTGTATCAGAACAAGTATAAGACCACATATATCTGAAGAACTGAGGTATTACACAGAGGCCACATGGTAAGAAAGCACTAAGAGTTAAAGATGAAAATGACGCTGTATTGTCTAAATATTATCATTATTATCATTGCAGTATCAGAATCAGTTTTAAGTATTGAGTCTATACCTTAGTATTGAAATCAAGTTTGAAATTTTAGTAATGTGAGCATGTCCACGGTTCACATGATCCTTACAACTTTTAACCAGGGCAGTAGTCAGCTTTAACTATGAGGAATGGTTAAAAGAGTCAAGTGTTATTTTACTACGTTAAAGATTTTTGTCATCAATTTGACCATCTGTAAATGAAACAGGCAGCACGTTCTGAAAGACTGAAGACAGCTGATATTACTGTCTTTTATGTGGTGCATTAGATTTACACTATAACCGGTCCTATATTACGCAAACTTGACTCTTGTGAGCTTTAAGCCATGTTATAATGTTGTTACCTCATCAAAAACATACCTGGAGTTGTGCTTTGTTTCATTTACACATGTTTGAGTAATCCTGTCACTATTGTTCTGTCACAATCTCCAATTTGAGAACTACAGCTAGAGTAGTTCTCAAATTAACAGCTATCTTTTACCTGTTGTTTCGCTGAGACTGGTAATTCCAGGACTGAAATTATCCAAATAATTCTAGTGAAAGTGTATGAGGTTTAAAAATAGACTGAAGCTCTCCCTGTACAACCACATCATAAGGAACAGAATGTTTGTTGTTTGAGAAAAGAACTCATCCTAAATATGCAGGATTATTGTGAATTTATGAATGAAACAAAACACAACTATTTTTGTTTTTGATGAGGAAGCAACACTGTAACACAGATCAGAAAACACCGTAACATGGGCCTTTTCAGCAGCCTATAGCATAAACAATAAAAGAGTATTATGAATTGTATTTTTACTTCTAGAGTTAATACACCAGGTGATTAGTGGCCACATGATATTTCTTACAAGATTAGGGTCTTAATCGCATTTTGAATGTAATTATCTGCTGCCATCTTGTGGTTACTTTGTTTGTTCTCTTGGTATTATTGTTTTTTAGTCAATCTACAGTGAACATCTGCATTTTAGTACAAGAGCAAACGATAATTGTTTTGATTTTGTTTTGATTAAACATTTAGCTGAATGTTATTGTTTTTTTGTTTTGTTTTTTTCATCGAGAAAAACAAAAAATAAAAAATGCACTTAATGATGTAAACGCAATCAACATATGAGAGAAAGGTAGTGGAGGAAATGTTTATGTATTGATTCTGACGCTTCCACGAGGTCCACAACAAGCAGCCTTCAACACCCACGTGCAGAGTCTTTCCACTAGTAGACACGCGCTTGCACCGAGGGGCCCCATCCACAAGAGGGCGCCAAAGATGAATGTTTAACTCCATCTCAGCAGCAGCGTGCTAAGGTAGGTTTATGTTTTAGATTCAAGCTGTGCAAGGGGGTTTAAATGTTTTGTATGTTTTTTTTTTTTTTTTTTGTTTATTTGTTTTGTTTTTGTTTCCATAGATACTCAGAACATGCGTGAGTTATGAATCAATCAAAGTATAAGTGAGTGAGATAATGATGATGGGACACATTATAACATGGGTAAAAGCTCATAAAACTCCTCTTAACTAAATGAGACTAGATCACTCTTTAGCCAAACAAACTATTGAAACTAGATGTTATGGGGGCACATGATCAGGAATAATCTGGTTAATTGTAATGAAACTGAGAGTTGTAATTAAATCTATTGTATTGTATTATCTTTTATTTATCTTTCATTTATCAGATCCCTGTGTATACAACAGAGAGAGAGACACGAGGCTAACACAGAAACATACAATGCACTTTTATATTTACGATAAGACTTCACTGAAGCACGTGCGTGACTTTGGGGGTGGGGGGCAAATGGTAATATGCGGGTAATATTTGTTTTCATGTAATAGAAGAGTCGGAGGAAATTAGATCAATCTTAGTGGCAAAGCAGATTCTGGTTGAAGTGTTTATGTTGCAAAAACAGCCCTCTAGCGCCATCATGTGGGAACACTCTCAATAACCTGAAGTTTGAGGACGAGGATCTCTAATTGCATTAAAGAGAGATTATATGTTCTGAGATTTCAAAAAGAAAATTCTATGTGATCAGAATGTGGAAAATTCCCTACAGGAGGCAGCTGCAGGCAAAAGATTTTACTATTACTATTACCATTACAAGGAACCAAAAAACATGCTTTTCTAGCTGCAAAATTACAAAAAACTATATGTTACAAATTAGAATATAAGAGTCTGTTAGAATATTTGCAATTAAAACAACACTGAACTGCAAAAATTGAGGATTAAATGTACAGTATTTCAAATATAAGTGTGATTTACCTATATACACTTTTGTGGTTGATTTAACTGTAAGTTCACTGGTCACATTTTTACATTTAAATGGTTTGTAATGAGCCATAAGCTTCAGAAAACAGATTCAAATACATTAATACATTTTGCTCGATGTTGACAGTGAGAAACCAAATCAAAGACTACAAACAAATGACCGTCCAAGAGCGTCTGACTTAAGGCGTTTTATTCGGCTCATTTCACATATGAGACATACTGTACAATACAAACATAAGGACATGAGCTGAAGAAGACACATGTGACTCAAACTAATGTAAGCGTGTGAAAGGACTCACACACAAGAGGCATTCAGAAAAAATATGCTTCAAGTGCAATTTGAGGATTTCAAGTTTGAATCTCGATAGCAGCGTGAAATACTGTGCAGCAGCTACCCACAGAACTTATCCAAAGGCCATGGATACCCATTAGAGTTTGCTGTTGTATCCTTGAGCAACACACTTCACCCATCTTGCCTTTTTATGAAAAAAGGGCTGGTGGTGCTTATAGGCCAAAGATGAAGAATTTGAGCCAGGCACATTGCTGTCAGTGCCCAATGCCCAGGGCAGCTGCTGCTGTTTATTTATTCTTTATTTAACCAGGAAAGTCCCACTGAGTTGGAATCTCGTTTTCAGGGCAGTCCTGGTACCAGAGGGGAGCCTTTTGCACAAGTTTGTAGAGGCAGAAGAAACCTAGACACAGGGAGAACATGCAAACTCCACAAAGAAACACATCACACCTACAACACCAAACCCTGTACTTTGAGAGTGCCAAAAACTCTTTGCATCAATTATAAAATTATAAATCTATTTCTTTAATATGTTCAATTCAAGATGTCAGGAAACGCTTAACTACAACACTATTAGTTTGATTTGAACCTTTCAGTAAATAGACAGAAAATCATCATCATTTTGTTAAAATTTGTTTTTATGAAAATAAGCATAAAATAGAAAATGTAATATTCATTGATTCAGTGACAGACCTCAGACTTGTATTTTGCAGCTCTACCTGATGAGCCACACATCAGAGACCTGCATTATTTACGCTGAAGCTTCCACAATTTTCATCTCTGACTTGGTTCAGGCATTTGCTGCTCAAGTTTTGCACAGCTGCGGTTACAAATGAAAAGAAAATATCCTTTCTTTTGAATAGTAAAAGTTCAAAATATTACTATAACAGGAATCTAAAACCAATGAATATTTTAAAAATGCATGTTTTTGATGGCATTATTTGTACACTGTTGCCTTATTATAGACTATTTTGTTGAAGATCAGGCTATAAAGAATAATATGAAAAACCTTGGCTACAGCAAAACTTCTTAAGTGAATGCATATTGATGTAACAATGCATAACTTCCTCCCCTTGTCCTTTCATAATTTTGAGCCATACATTAAATTATATTCTTACGTCAAAGGGCCCATATTACGCTATTTTCTGATCTGTTATAATGCTGTTTCCTCATTAAAAACATACCTGGAGTTGTGTTTTGTTTCATTCACACATTTAACACACAAACCCTGCATGTTCAGGCTGAAATCACTCTGTTCCACCTTGTGATGTCATGTGGTAATACAGGAAGTGCTCCACTGTGTTTTTAAACTCCACACACCTTCACTAGAATCATCATGAACTCTAGATATGTTTTTAATGAGGTAACAACATTATAACGTGGCTTAAAGAGTCAATTTTGCGTAATATGGACCTTTAATTAGATTCTTACGTTAAATCACGCTTTAACGCTTCTATAACGCCTGTGTTTTTGTCTCCTTCTCTCCTGAATCGCTCAGACAAGCCTCGCAGATGCCTCTCTTCCTCCTCTGTTGCTTCGGTGCAGTTTCGGGGCTTTTTTCAAAGTTCCCACGGAGCCGCAGGTCCCGCCCCGTAAACGCGAGCTCGATGCGCATTGGCCCGCGCGCGCTCATTTGCATTAACGTCAGTAAAGGCTGTAGGTCAGTTCTTACGGGTGCTTTTATTGGATGTGCCGCTGTCAAGCAGTCCTGAGAAGGCAGGGAAAGACAAACCTCAAATCAGCATTATGTAGCTACAATCTGCCTCGTCTTCGCTCGCTAAAAGGCTTCATCAATTTCAACCGGTTCACACGCGAAACTTGTGGATAGCGCGTTCCTGTTTTTTGAGAACATTTTCCTCTGAGCCTTTGCATTCTCCAGAGGTGGTACCTTCACATATTCCTGCCTGACAGCCTCTCGGTTTGATTTTTCGCTACAGAATGAACCTGGTAACGCAGTAGCCAATTGCACTCGGGGTTGTGCTGTTTTATATGTGTCGGACCATCCACGATCACCACCGGGCAGCGAAGGAAGGAAAGCCTGAATGGAGACAGCGAGCCATACACCGGGACCTCCCCGAGTGCTCCTCCGCTGATTGTGGCCCGATTCATGGAGAGTTTGGCCGGCTTTGTGTCGCGCTGGGGCCGCTGCTGTGTGACAGTACGCCGAGGATATTTCAGCCTGTTGATGATGGACCGCAAAGTGTCGTGAGAACAGCTTTATGGTCCGTGTTCTGCGCGTAAGTGGCTAACCAGATTGACGAGACGCTGAGAGAAGACATGTTTTTTGATGGCTCCGGGGTGGCGAAGGACAAATGTAACAGTGGACAGTAAAAATGGATGAAAGTATTGCCTGAGAGCTGGCGCAGGCTGGAGGGAGGGGGGTCCATGGTGCGCCCAGGCCTACGACTTGATAACAGTGAAGTTGAGTGAAAAACGGTCATGTGGTACGCGCAGAGAGGAATACCCGGTCCCAACTGAAAGACCCGAGTTTGTGAAGGATAACTGCTTTGATTAAAGATTCCCAAAGGGAGGAAACCGGCTTCCTGGTTCAAGGGGGTGGGGGCAAAAATATATTATACATGCCTTCTGTTGGAGCACTTCATCAACTGGCTTTGGTGTGGCCTAGATGATACCCATCTTATTTGTGTTGTGTATTTATAACTGATCAAAATGAAGGCTTAGGAACTAAAGTGGACCTTAAAAGACATAAGAGGACACAGAGGAGCCTCAAAAGAAATAAACTTGGAAAAAAAAAGAAAAAACAAAATCTTCTGAAGTGGGTTGAAGCATGGGCTGTGCTTCAAGTATTCATATCTCTGATAGGGTGGTCTACCACAGTGGAAAAGAGTCCGAGGATTCCCACTCGCCCCAGCAGACTAACACCACTCAGCATCAAGGAAATCCTGCCTCTGGACTACTGCCCCTCAAACCCCCCAGCGGCAAGGTGAGGTCCACACGCACGCGCAACAAGTGGCACATTTGTACAGTGGTCCTATTTAAAGGCCTGTATCGCTTCAATCACAGGCTACTTAAACCTTTACTTCAAAACGACAGAATTAAACTAGCAGTCTCTCTCTTTAACACTTGTAAGTTATGACTTCTCTGACCTAAGTGCAGTCCATGTTTCATACATTTGTACATTGGTCCTGTTTAAAGGCCTGTATCACTCATAGTTTACTTAAACTTTTATTTTAAACTAAATTAAACATAGATTATTGGTTATGTATTCTCTTTCTTAACTTTAGCCCATGTTTCATACATTTGTACAGTGGTCCTCTTTAAAGGTCTGTATCTTTTCAGTCATAGTCTACTTAAACTTTTACTTCAAATCGACAAAATTAAACATAGAGTATTGGTTTTGTATTCTTTTGTAACTCTAGTCCATGCATTTGTACAGTGGTCGTCTTATAAATCCTGTAAATACTCACTTAAAGTTGCACTGTGTGACTTTTTTGGTGAGGATCTTGTTACCTAGAATGGTTAACTCCTCCTTATACCGTCACACTTTTCTGTCTTGCGTTTATTCAATACCAGGCCTCTCCACAGACCTGACCTGTAACTTGGCCTAATGGTGTTGTCTGCTTGTTTCCATGGAGATAAATAAGTGCAATGTTTCTCTGTGGAGAATTACAGGTAAAGCAATAACATCTCCATGACAAGCAGGTTAGAAAAGTTACGTAGTGCGTCTTTAAATAGGTATAGTTCTCGTAGTAATCATAATAAGCCCGTTTTACAGCGTAGTTTTTGTGCTTTGAAATAAAATAAGTTGTGTATTCTCTATAAATGAAGCTTAGGAGTAAACCAAATTTACTTTCTTCTTAGACGTTGCAGTGAAATTTTCAGTGGAGTAGGCTCAGATTTGGCAATTAGGCATAAAGTAGTAGTGAAAGGGTCATTTACTGGAAGTGAGTCAAGCAGAGCAGAGCAGAGTATACACTTGTGTAATTTACATATCGCTGGTTTCAGAGCGCCGAAAATGTAGTTTTAGTTGGCACAAAATTCACTTGTTTCGGTAGCTGTAGCATTGCCTAAACAAAAATTTAGTTAGCTGTCAAAATCAAACTTAAAGATAGAAAAGCCATATACAAAAAGTGGTATTTTCACTTGCAAAACAAATAAAAGATTAACGTAAATATATAAAAATTACTCCATAGTATTCTTTCTTTTATTACATAAGCAGTAGTTCTAATTAGCTACCATTTTAGTGTCCATCTTTTCAAAATAAAAATGACACTAAAATTGTTGCTTTCGATACTAAAGAATAGACTCGATACTTGATACTGATTTTGATTTTGAAGCTCTGCTTTTTAGACAATATTGCAACTCAAAACGACTTGAAGTTTGTCTTTATTATGCCATGTGGTTTTGACACTAATTCTGATCAAAATCAAGATGGAACTGTTTAGCGAAGGTCAGATTTTATCCAGTTATGTGATTTATTATTATTATTATTATTATTATTATTTTGTTCAGTTTTGATACTTACTCAAAATAGTATCTAGTTCTGAAATACTAGTTTCTTTCTACAGTGCAGTGCAGTGACATACAATTAAATAAGCTTTTCAACATTTCCCGTAAACTTTTTGCTTAACGGAGCCTTACTTCAAGTTCTTAAAGTTTAGCAAAACAAAACAACAAAGCAACGGTCCCAACTTTCACAAAGGAAAAAAAACACACTTGTACTGTCACTTAGCATTTTGCACTATAAACAGCTAACTTCCTTTTAGAAAACCCAGCTTTAAAGAAAGGTCAAAAGGTCACGGCTGTTACCAAAACATAAAAAAAAATACTCTGAAGCTTTTTTTTTTTTTTTTCTTTACCTAATGTCCGTGTTGTTACAGTTTACGCATATCTTGTGGATCTGGGCAGTAATTTATAGCCACACATCACAGAGGAAGTGGTTTTGAACGGGACAGTGGCTACAGGCGGGGCTGTGTAGGGAGGAGGCGCAGTAGTAATATGAATTAGGATTGATATTTTGAGACATTGTGAAAAACCGTGCATGACTTTTAAAGGGGTGGAAATTGTGTTAACTTAAAGTGCACCTCTTTTCTTACTTATTTTGGATACAATACTAATATTTCAAACTTGATTTCGATACTAAGGAATAGACTGGATATTCAATGACGTTTCCAATAACACGATGATAACTTCTTTAGACAGAAGAATGTGATTTTCAACCATAAATAATATTTTCTTTTATATTACCATGTGGTTTTATATCTGTGTAATCCCTCAGTCATCCAGGTAGGTTCCATAGTGGTCTTGGACTTGTTCTGATCCAGCTCAAGATCTTTCTATGAAAGTTTCTTTTTTAAATGTGACTTCTTGTAAAGTATCAATACCTGCTCAGAGTATCTACTAGTTTGGATATCAATATTGATTATAGGTAAGATTTGTAAATATTTGACGATATGCATATGCATCTTACAGTTCGATATTTATTTTATTACAAAATTGTGAAGAAGCTGCTTTTTCTGTTAAAAAGCCTTGGGAAAGCTTTTTTCTAAAATCTTTTCTGTTATAATATGAAGAATTATTAAATAAAGTGCTTATAATAGTTATTAAAGTCTTCATGTAGTTTGACAACAGCAAAGGATCATGGTCTATGTAGTTCCCTCTGATTTTTAGCTACTGCTGCACCATGGCAAGGCAAAACAAAGCAATTCAAAACACTTTACAGAATAAGAAAGACATTAAAATCACAAAGAAATACATTAAAATCACCACGACTATTCATGTAAGCAAAGAGACTTACAATTCGATATATTGTGATAGCCTCCGATATTATTTTGAGACTTTTGACGATACGATATTACGATATTTTGTACATTTATTGTTACATCCCTATTGATTATTCTCTGATTTTCAATAGTTTGATTTTTTTATTTTACTTCCACTAACGCCACTGTAATACTAACTTATGTGATAATAATATACGTGTCCAATAGCGATAATGTGATAGGACACTTCCAGTTATTTCTCTACTTTTGTTAACTATTTAATTGATCAATTTTACTTGCAAAACATTTCATACATCATTTTAACTTTAATTCTCTGTAACACTTTCTACATTTCACTACTGTATTGACTCAGACTGAAATATTTGGAAGACAAAGGTCAATAAATCTAAAAATAACTCTTTGAATCTTTAACATTTACATTAGTTTATTCTTTTTGCATAGCTCTCCGTGGCAAAAGCTGTGCAGGTGTGAACGACTACAAATGTGGTTACTCACATCAGATGTAGGCCTAACTGTTTACATGACATTTGACTAATCTGATAACGCTGTACAATCAGATAATGATCACGTTTTTCATGTGTGCACGTACACATAGCCACTTTTGGACCAGACAAAATCATTTAAATGTATTGATACTTTGCAGCTGATATCATCAACATTTCCTGTGGGTGTGACGCTAACTGTAGGCACTGCTCTGTCTGAAGCTCTGTTACTCAAATTAGCCTTAATCTAAACTTTATTTTAAGACTGATCTGACCAGAAAGTCCTGATTTAGTTAGAAGTGCAACAGGTGAGCTGATTTGTGCTGTTAAACAAATCTTTCCCAAATAGCATTACAGTTACAAGCTAGAAAGCATTAGCCAACTGTTTTTCAGCTAGTCACTCTCACTGTTTTTTTGTTGTAGAAAATCAAACACCTAAACAGGATCACAGAGACCCCAGAAATGTCAATTTTTACTTTTAAGACTTTTTTTTGGCAGTGTTTGCTAATGTGTGCATTGTGTCACCATGGTAGCCAGAGCTGGGTATCATTAAGAAGTTGCCGATACGATGCATACCTCGATACATAGGCCATACATATCTTGATACAGTGCACTTTCGGTTCGATTCAATTATATTTCAAATCGATTCACTATGGTTCAATAAAAATTAAAAAAATCATGGCTAAAATTCAAAACGTGTAAATGTGCCAATAAATGTAATCCCTTCCTCTAAATCAAAACCGTGCAACAAAATGTGTCGCATAAACAAGTTTGCTCTAAAAAATAATTAAGTAAACTACACCAAAAAAAATACTCTCGATATATCGACACATTCCTGCGATACTGTATCATCACACTAAATGATACAATATGTCGATATTTCAATAATTTTGCACACCCCTAATGGTAACTGCTGAACATTCTGCCATAGACATACATGCATACACGGTCCTGCAGGTGTGTATATACATTTACATTCTTTATACAGTCGATGGTGCGGGTCATATACCCCACACAATCATTCTTGATCACAGCACGGGTCTAAAGTCCTACAGCCCTAAGAGTTTGATTTTCACGGTTATTCTAGTTGGGGAACAGTTATGTAAAATTAGCCTGAGGGTGAAGCAGATAGTAACATCACAAGACCTTTGACTGTACATCCTCCAATAAAAAAATAACATTTGTGACCAAGACCTAATTAAGCCCTATGGTCCCAGTTTAGTCCTTGTTTGGTTAAGACCAGAGTTAGACCTGGTTTAGACCTGGTTAAGTCCAGGTTTAGACCAGGTTTGGCTGTAGTTTATTCTTGGTTTAAACGTATCTACATTGCTCTAGTTTAATTGTACTTTAGTCCTGGTTACTCCTGGTTTTAGTCCTAATATAATGTAAGTTATGACTTAGTCTTGATATAAGCCTGGTTTTACATTCATACAAGTCGAGGTTTGGTCCAGGTTTGGTCCTTGTTTGATCCTGATTTAGTCCTGGTTTAGTCCTTGTCTGGTCCTTGTTTGGTCCTGGTTTAGTCCTTGTTAGGTCCTGGTTTAGGCATGGTTTGGGCCTGGTTTGGGCCTGGTTTAGTTTTGGCATGATCCTGGTTTAGTCCTGGTTTAGTTCTTGTTTGGTCCTGGTTTAGTCCTGGTTTAGTCCAGATTTAGTCCTAATTTAGTCCTTGTTTGGTTCTTGTTAGGTCCGGTTTTAGTCCCTGTCTGGTCCTGTTT